AGGATGACAGTACATAGAACAGGCCGTAGCTACCAGGATTCTTTTTCAAACGGAGCCCCAAGAAGGTCCATCTATTTTCTGAGATTGGGTTAGATTGCATATCTCTTCATGAACTTTGATCGCCGTGCCTATGCAGGAGCCCATTGGGACCCAAGTATCTGCAATATGGGCAGATGAACCCTTCAAGGCTTCAAGTAGGATCCTAAAATCTGGAGTCTGGGATTCTAAGCCCACTGCATCTCGATGCGACACGGCTCCTGAAATCTGTGCACCCAAAGACCCAAAGCTCCAAAACCCCAACCGCAACTGCTGCGGACCAAACCCCAGACCGTGAACCCTGAACTCTAAAAACCACGAATACCCAGGTGCTATTCATTGTGGCCGAGAAAACGTCTCTCATCACTGCCCAGGCAAGATGGTTGAGTTGTAATTAAGGGCCTCACAGGTTCGGATATGGGACTTTTTCTAATATTCGGAAACTACCTAATCTAGGGTGGTGGGGTTTGTTGCTCCATGCGATCTCGCCCGAGCTCTTGTTCCGTTTACCTGGGTGCTCCAGGAGTGCTTGAGTCCGAGATTTTGAGATCTCTGAAGTCCCGATCCCACAGAGAGCCTTTTATGACCCAAGCTCTTCAATGTATGAACAGAGGCCTGAATAATTAGACTAGCTGTTTTTTTTGGGGGGTCTTCTATTATACTTATTTTCAGGAACCCACGAAACCCTATTCTAATTATTAAGGCCTCCACAGTATAAACGGCTGCATGTGAGTTCCTGCAACTTCGACAACACTTCGGGACCAGAATTCGGCTCCTACTATGGGGGCCAAGTACAAAATATATATATATATATATATAATACATATTATGTATATATATATATATGTATATGTATGTATATATATATATATATATGTATATATACTACTATTTTGGGGGCTTCCTTATCATAAATATGGTATAATCATACGCCCAAAAGGCCTGTTCCACTTATTAAGGCCCGTATATTGCATACTTTCAGGAGGTCGATGCACTGTTCGCCGGGTCCTAGAGACCAGTGACGACAACCTTCCACATGGCCTTGCAACTCCGGAACTTGACAGCGTCCAGTTCCTGACCTCAAAACCTGGTTTGGTTTCAGTGCCGATCCTCTAAACAGCGCTTTTAGCGGTTTTGGTAAATGGAGTTACGAAGCCGAATCCATCCCGAAACCCCTGGCCCAGCTTTGCCATTTGCAAAGCAGCACCCTCGCAGATCCCTCAAAACTAGATATCAGATCTTTGAGCTCCCCCCTCCCAAACCCGTCAAACCTTAAACCACCCCCCTTCCTCACTGGTAAGCCCTGAAGCAGCCGAAGTTGTCTGAACAGGACCTGCAAGGCCGCGTGCTGCTCCCGGCGAAGGCTCGCTTGGGTTTCTGGATGTTTGGCGTTCAGCAGTTTGGGTTTAGTTGGGTTCAGTAGTGTTTAGGATTTGGGGTTTAGGATTCAGGGTTTAGGGGTTGGGTTCAGCAGGTTCGTGATGTAGCAGGTGTAGGGTCTAGTCGGATTTGGAACTTAGTATTTCAGGGGTTTAGAAGGTTCAGTCAGGGTTTGGTTAGTGCTTTGGTAGTTTTGTAGTGGTTTCGTGCTGGGTTGTGCAAAACCAACCATGGGGTTTCGATTGTGGGTCTTAGACAATCGTGTTTTGGAGGCTATGGTTTATTTGTAATTTGGCACTTTTTCTGGCTACAGTTCATGCAGCTGTTGCAACCCGCAGGGGCCCGCATGTCAACACGACGCGATCGCATTGATGTGATGACGCTGTAGCACTGCTTAGCTTGTGCAGTGGCTTTGATCCTTGATTGTCGGAGGCCGTGCTTCTGGCTGTTTTATGTGATTCTTGTTTGTCCTAATCGCCACCTGTCTTCTCAGATGCCTTGAGCTGCTCAGGACCTCCCTATGTAAATCAATGTTGCCGTGCAAGTGGTGCCAAATTCCTGGTGAAGAGTTCAGTACAGATCTGACCAAGCAGGAAGCAATATGGGAGTTTCCGAAAATAGGGGACCCTAATATAGTACCGTAAATAGTAGGTTCCTCATTATAAGGACCCCAAAATCAGGTACCCCTAATTGTCGGAAACTCCTAGAGTTTTCTCTCTATTTGTTCATCTCGACGTTGTTTATGGTGTTGGGGGCGGCCCTTAGTGCTGAAACGGTAAATGTAGGTTTTCGGCTATTGATGCTCGTAGACAGACTTGCGCTGAGCTCGCCGATGCTGGTTCTGGTTCGCGGATTTTGCTTCTGCGGTTTGTTGGGTCGAAGCTGGAGTATCGAGAGCCTCTTTGTCGCATCGTGTTGGCAGGACTTCCACTTGTCCCCGCCGCCGTTGTTGGCCGCAGCTTCAGTGCAGTCGGATCTGTCGGATCTGCTGATGCCTGCGGCTGTAATACTTAGAAGCTGTGCTTGTAGCATTATCACTGTGTCAGTCACAGTCGCTTCTCATCATCACACTCATCCTCACAACCAGAATAACCACCATCATCGCCAGAAGCGACGCGATAATCATCATGAGAGGGGACCATGCTTTGCAAGGACGATACTCTCCGAACCCTTTCCCGCGTCGTTTGCCTCTAGTGTTTTTCCCTCTGGCGCCCCGACTTGAGTTCAGATCTCCCTACTGCGGAAAGCTTGACTCTGGTGCTAAGAGTCTTACAATCCGCTGCAACAGCCACTGAAGCCCATGGCGTGCTGCACCAGTACGAACAGACCACTACTTCAAGACATTTGTTTGTGTGTGCCCACACAATGAGAATAGGCCTTCGGTTTACGCTTGAATCTAACCTTGCAGGGAGCACGGAGTCAAGCAACTTCGAAACACAAACCCTGAACAAGCACTAACCTCAAACCGTAGATCCTGACCCCAAACCCTCAAGTCCGAAAGCCGTAAACCTTAAGCATGCAGATCTTTGTACTGTCGACATACGCCGACGGAAAAATGTCAAAGACAGCCAAACTCACTTGTTTCTCAATTTCGCAGTTGCCGAGCTCTGACAGGCTTGGGTGTGTCCTCGGCCTTTCACGAGTCATGCACAGCTGCAAACAAGGCTTAGGGCCTGGGGGCTTTTGACATGACTGAGAGAGGCCTTCATCCATGCTTAGTATATCTTGTGCACGACTCTCTCTAACAGAGGCGTCATGCCCAGCCCTGAGCCCAGCAACCGATGCCTAATTGAAGCTTACATGCGCTGAAGCGCGCCTGGGATAACCCCGAGGCAGTGAGGGAGAACGTCGTGGCTGCAGCCGTGCAGGATGCGGGCAGGCGACGTTCATCATGGTGGTCAGTGTAGTCGGTTCAACAACCCTCACAACAGTCCCCAAAACCCTGATGGCCCTAAGCCCTACGCCTCAAACGTACAGCTTCCGGTCCCGACAGCCTCAAGCCTGAGCGTCCAAACCCGACCACTTGGAGGCCCTAAACCCCGCAATCCAAGACCCAAACTTGAAAAAAGAGCGTGACCGACAGAGACCGTGCTGAGTTCACCGGATGCATGATCAATGATGATGATGATCAAAACGAGCTATCCCAAGGAGTAGTATCTATAAGGTTCTCATGTGGTTGTAGTCCTAGCGTGCTGTCTGGTGTTTTCTGTTTTCGTGTTTGTTCCACTTCCCCATGCCCTTTGAAGCTCTCAACCCGAAATCTTTCATTCATGTTCAAGTTATCGGAAGCCTTGTGAAGTCTGGCACTTTGTTTGCCCTGTTTGTCGGAGAGGTCCTGCAAATCCATGTGCGAGTCCATGGGTAAGGTTTGCCCCAGCCTGAGTCCAGCACTGACAAGGATTTCGTGTTGTATGTGACGCCTGGAAGCCTAAACCTTAAATCGCTAAGCTGGAAAGACAAGAGCAAGTTCGACAGTTTGTGTGCATCAGGATCGTGGTTGCAGTCTTTAGTGGCTGCCTTGGCTTCTAGGTTTCGGAGATCTTCTTACAGGACTCTAGCAGTACCAGAGCCCCGCCCCGTCGCCCAGAAAGCCCCGAAATCCAAGCCTGAAGTTTGGGGTGTGGGGCCTTGTGGGATTAGGGTTTTAGTGGTTTGGGGGTTGGGGTTTAAGGGTTTAGGGTTTATAAGGGACTTACTTTTTGGGTTTAGGGCTTTGAAGCCCTATAAACTCGACAGAATCCGTGAGCCGATCTTGATATCCAACCCCCCGAGATGCAGCCATTTCTGGCGTCCCACTGCAGTCCCCATATATTGCTGTACTAAACAGTCACGCTCTCAAGAGAACCTCTTGTGATTAGGTATGTCGGCTCCTATCTTAGTAGCCATGTAGTGCAAAGTTGGGATCTGAGGAAGCTTCCTCCAAGATCCTCGACCCTGAATTCTTGTACATGTGTTTGATAACATCCTTTTGCCCATGATGTCGTAGCATGAAAATCAAGGTAGCCAAAAACAGGCAGGAGAATCCGGGTCCCCGTAATTCGGCCCCGACGTTTTGGATGTCAACAGTAATTCCGTAAACCCTAAATCCTAAACCTGAACCCTAAACCCTAAACCGTAGTAATTCCCCAGCAATCCTAGTCCAAGCATCTTTCGTCCCGGGGTTTGCTGTGTAGGGTTTAGGCTTGAGGGTCAGGCGTTCGGGGCTTTAGGGATAAGGGTGTCGCAGTCTTCAGATAAGGTTGGCCAGGCCTTTGAAGGGTCGGAGATGGGACTGTTGTGGAGTTGATGGATGGGGTCTCCTCAAGGGGCTTATAAAGTTCAAATCTATGGGGGGCTCTCTACATAGAATGCTGCCGTTCCCTCTCCGACCATTTATGCGTCCTTAACTCGTGATCTGCCTTTGCAGGACTGGGTGTGTTGGAGTTTAGATTCGAAAGCGTAGGTGTGAGGTAGGTTCCGCCGGAGGGCGTGTAGGGAGCCTGCCAGCGTGAAGAACTGCCGAAGCTCCCGTGGCTGCTGACCTCAAGCATACGGGGCCTGTTGTGCAGAAGAAGCACTGCTAGCGACTAGCGACCCTCGTGGCGATGACCTCCCCGCGCTGGAAAAGATTTCTGGGGCTGTCCCTGTGGCTAGCCGGGCTGGCGGGAGGCGCCTGGCCTTAGGATCATTGAACCAAGAAGTAATCGTATGGGCTGTGAGTGTAACCTAACTCTGCTCCGGTTGAATGTATCTCGTGATGCCGCACCCACCCAGGAATCAGAGGAAGTCTGACCATGTGACCACCGCGCAGCAAGGGGATCTTAGACGCCATGCAGCCCTAAACCCTCAAACAGTACGAAAACCCGGGATGCCACCCTGGAAAGGAAGTACCAGCGGAGAGTACTTCGCGGTTTGCGACGCTGGAAGCACCGGCACTCGCTTGCCCCCAGCCTTGCACGGATCGCTGACATGGGAGTTTCCGACAATTAGGGGCACCTTACACGAGGTCGGTCCTTACAATAAGGATCCTACTATCTAGGGTACTTTTTTAGGGTCCCCTATTTTGCGAAACCCCCACATAGATAGATAGAAGCACGGGTTGGCGTAGACCGAAAAGCTCACGCGAGACCTGGCAGCCATATCTCTTGTTCATTGCGAGGCCATAGATATACCGTAGGTCTAGACGCACCATGTCGTTTGTCCCTTCTGTGGCAGTAGAGTTGTAGAATAATATCAAGGTCTGAGTGATTCGTAAGAGTATGCTAGTAATATCCTCTGAAGTACCTGTGCCAACATGCTGAGGGCCCAAAGATTTCAAGCCCGGGGATCAACTTGTCTTTGATCCAGATGATGCTGTTGAGTTTTGGCTCAGGATGCAGGAGCCAGTAAGCCCAATCGTGGCATCGTGTCTAAATGCTCAAACACCTTGTGAGCCCTATCAAGCCGAAAATTCCCAAACAAACAAATCAGCAGACCCGAAACCTGACAGCCCGAACCCCCTAAACCCTGAACCGAAACTCAGGTATGTCTTCCTTCTCGATGCCGAAGGCGGCAAAGCCAAGTCAGTCTTTGCAGCCCGGCGAGACTCGTGTGGGATCTGAAGGGCTGAGCCGTGCACATGCCTAGCTGCTAGCTGCAACCTGTATCTATATCTGTATGCATATATATATATATATGTACAAAAAATATACATACATACACTGTAAGACATACATACATACATACATACATACTTAAATACATAAATACTACATACATACCTACATACGTACATACATGCATGCTCACATACATACAGACATGCAGACATAGCGGGCGGGCGGGCGGGAGGGCAGGCGGGTAGGCAGGCAGGAAGACAGACAGACAGACAGACAGACAGACAGACTGACAGACTGACAGACTGACAGACTGACAGACTGACAGACTGACAGACGGACGGACGGACAGAGACAGGCTCTCTCTCTCTCTCTCTCTCTCTCTCTCTCTAGTCGTAAACTACATGTGTGTGTATATATATAGATATATATGGATGCACATAAAGTCTATGTGGCATTGTTCTGCGTAGGTAATTTGGTAATTCCTAATTGGGCCAAAGAGAACTGTACACCTGCAGTACAGTTGCCTCAACACCGGCAGGCCAGCAACCCTGGAACTCGAGATTGGCCACATGATTCCTTCTGGTTCCTCTTCTAGGGTTTAGGGTTTAGCGTTCCCTAAACCCTAAACCGAAGGGTCATGGGATTTAGTAGAATAGCTCCTCTTGTGATTGCTTCAAGCCCAATCCAGGGTGCGTATAACCTTACTTCCTAGCCTCCAAGTAAGCCGCTGACGGCCAAGAGGAGTTTGGAGCTAAGTATTTTTCATTCAGGGCTTGAGGTGTTCCTGCCGTTACAGGGAGAACCGTCGCTAACGGTCCTGTAAACGCAGTACAAGTCTGCTACGATGCCAGGGTTCAGAATGATGTCAGGGATAGTCGTTAGTGCATTCGGGCTTATCCGGAACCTACAATTCCCGAGAAACAACTTCATCGAAGACCATATCGAAGCCTGTAACATCCGAGGTCCCCGAACCCGAAGTCCAAAACCCTAACTCCCAAACTCTAAACATTCCAAAACCAGAGGTGAAGAAGAGGAAGCCGGGGCTTTCGTCGCGACTTAGATGTCACTGAGGAGTGTAGGGTTCAGGGTTTAGAGTAGTTTAGGGTTTAAGGTTCAGGGTTGAGGGTTTAGGCTTCAGGGTGTCGGGTTGAGGGTTCAGAGTGAGGGTTTAATTTTGCGGTTCAGAGACGACAGGATGCAATGTCGCTGCAAGTTTTGCCATGCAAGGGTTTCGTGATGACCCCATGGTGACCCCTAAACCCCAAAACCCCACCAAGATTTTCAGCGAGTTGGGTCAGGTACCGGGCGAACCCCGACGATGCGGTGCCCCCCTTGCTCGAACTGCCTCCCGTCTTTCTAAGATTATGTCAAACTTCCAGGCAACATATAAATCTCTTGTGCAGACACGATACAACACAATATCAAACCTTCTAAAATCCTTGGTGCAATCGGTGGCTAGGATAACCGTGGTTACAGGTGGTGAGCCCACCGAGAAGCCTAGGCTTCGGCTGCTGGGCGGGATTGACAATCAAATTGAAAGCCCAAGCCCTAAACCTTTTCACCAGTTGCCCTATAATTAACAACCTGATATACACCCAACACTGTTGCCCAACACCATGCGTGGGACAAAAGCGCCGAGCTCATAGTGGTGTATGCACTTAAGGCATCTGTAGTCATCTGCATCAGGAGCTCCCCGTCTTCCTGTGGACGTGTGGACCCCCTTGCAGACAAATTGGCTCATAACTAACCATTGATATTGGAGGAGCTAAGGAGCCAGGGATGACGATAATCCTTATTAAATAAGCAGCTAAAGAGCCCAGGGAACCACCAAAACCACTGGTTGGATAACTTGAGGATCCGGCGCCTGTCCTCTGAATCTCGAACCATTCCCTTGTTCGCGTAGTTGCCACGACCTCCTAATGCGTCGGGACTCCAGGAACAGTCTCCTTACTATAGGATCGATGGACCTATGTAGTATATACCTCGGTCTTGAAGAGGGTTCCTATACATGTAGACCAGGCTACAACCAGGTCTGTGTTCGGGTCTTGTCTCGTTGGCAGCCTCGAAATTAATATTTTGATTGGCACCTGAGGCTTCTAAGAGTGATAGTCGAATCGCAAACTCCTGAAGTGGAGAGCTTTTCAAACGAAGCCTGGAAAACTCCGGAGCCCTCGATGAACCCTCAGCCCTAACTCTTCAACCCTCAATACTACCGGCCCTAGACTAACCAAAAACTTCAAAGAGCTTCGTCCAAGGCTGAAGGAGGGAGCCGCGACGATTCCGGAGGAGCGGCGTGCCAAGGTTCCTCTCCTCATCTACGGCACGGCTGGGATGAGGCTTCGGAGGGTGGGCTGGGATGGGCATGGGTAGCACAGAGGGGGATCAGAGCTTGTGTTGAGATTTTAAGGTTTTTTAGGGTTCTGGGTGCTTCTCAGTGTTTCGGGGGAGGGCAGGGTTTTAAAGGTCGCGAGGTTTAGGACTGTATGTTTTCAGAGCTGAACGCATGCAGCGATGCTCTTGGGCTTATTGCTTGAGGGTTGAGGTTTTAAGGTTTTGGTTTAGGATTTTGGAATCTCCGCACAACAACCTGGGTTTCCGGTTTCTATGGGAGACCATCGTCATGTCCACCTATAGGCTTAACGATGCAGGGGACTGCGTCTACAGAGGTTGATGGTCTAATTTCAACTCTGGAAGGTTCCATCTGCCTTGAGCTTAGCTGCTTCAAGGATCTTTAACCCTAAACCGAAAGGTGTGGCCCTTGAGCCGCGATGGATCTCTATGCAGCCTGAACCTAAACTCTACGATCCCGTCTTCAACTAAAACCCGATGCACGCTCTGATCCCTGCGAGCCCTAAAGCTTAAGCCCTGAAACACACTAACTGCTGAACCTCGACGATAATGCAGAGGCTTAAGCTGATAAGAGATTGTGTTCCCTCAAAGTCCCTACGCCGCTATGTACCAATTCTAACAATAACGGCATTAAGGCCCCTTGTTGTGGTAAACCTCGGTAGGACACCTTTTGGTAGCCCTTTTCGAGCCCTTAGCCGTTAAAGAAACCCTATATACTCTCACTATTAAGGCCCCCACTTGGAGTCTCATGGGTAGTCATAAGCAGGGTTTTAGGTAGGGTAACTATACTTCTAACCCATATTAGGTGACTTATAGCCACTTATATCTCCGCATGAACCTCTACTTGGAGGATCATGGGACTTAGTAAGTAGGGTTATAAGTACCTTAATTGGGGTTATAAGTAATTCTAAGTACAGTTACCTTAATTATAACCCTAGTTACTAAGTCCCATGATCCTTTAAGTGCGGATCCGACCGAAGCCCCTCCTGGGAGGCTTCTTCCTGCGGGGGAGCAGAGCTTGATCTGGTCGACGCTCCACGCGCAGCTCGCCGGTGCCAAGGACTTCCCATTCGACCAGGGCGCCTTTCAGGCCCTGCCTAGACCCTCAAAAGTAGGTAAAATAATGGCCCAAAACCTATAAAAAGGCTATTATTCTACATGCTTTTGGGGTCTAGGTGAAGACTTGGGGTTTTGCGGGCGTATGTTGGCGTAGGATCTTGGGTTTAGGGTCGATAGGGTCTTCGGTGTGGTGTTAGTTTCGGATGGAGCGTGATGGGTCTGGTCTAGGGTTCTGGATCTATGTGTCGTGTCGCGCTTGTGGTGTTATGATGCCCAGTTCGCTGCATGCTGCATGAGCCTGTATGCCTATATGCAGACTTTGCTGCACGAAATGTTCTTGAAGCCTACGCCTTAAACACCCAATCAACGTGCTAGAGCAGTCTCTGTGTTGTCAGGCCCGCACAGTCAGCGGTGACGAGGAGGGCCTTTGGGCCGTGCTGGCCACCAACTTTCTGATGGGCCGGATGGGCCACGACTTGTAGCTCGTTGCAACCCAAGACTTCAGATGAGCAAGTCGGACAGGTAGATTTGTGTTGCAAGTGGCCCTGCAAGGACGGAATTTGGGGGCACTACTCATATCGGAAGATGGTCGGGGTGTGGCTTTAGTGCCACATTCCGTGGTGGGCCTTCCGTAGGAAGCTTGAAGCCTCATTGCAGGTGAAGTTCTGAACCTATAAACAGCTGAAGCCATAAATGGCACAGTGCATGGCGAGGGGGAGCCCTTTGCTCCCTTCTGGAAACACCTGAATGCCACCGGGGATTCTCTCTGCGATCCGCGTTTGTAGGAAATGCTTCAGGGCCCGGGGTTTAGGGGTGTACCCAGAGGCTCCAAAGTAGTTCCTTTTTCGGGTTACTTTATAGGATTCTAATTATGAATCCCAAAAAGGAACTACTATGGAGGCTATGGGTAGGGTTTAAGGGTTTTGAGACTCAGGCATGGTAAGTACCCTCGTAGCATATTATACTTGTAGGTCTTTCGAGTTCGATGCGAGTATCCAAGAGCTCATGTAAGCATCTCTGTTGATTCCCGGATCCTCCCGGCCCGAAGCTTCGTGGTTTGGCTTCTACTGGTAGTGCCTTTGTGTTCCCTGGGTTTCCGCATTCTCCTCCAAGCCCTAGGAGCCCCATTATTCTGCGCACCCGATTGCCAGGAACCCTCCAAATCTGACCTACAACTCTAAACCCCCCTAAACCCGAGCCGAGGGCTAAACGCCCCAAAGGCCCTTTTTTCCCCGAGCCGATCTCAGGTTATCACATGGGCAAGGAAAGCCGTTAGGTCTGATGGATCTCGGTGGATCGAGTACTCAGCTGCTTGGCAGCACCTCTTTGACTTGTTTTACCCTAAACCCTAAGCCCCTGCAGAAAGAAGCTCAAACAAAAAAAAGCTAAACCCACATTTAGGGTTTACGGATTTAGAGGTTTGGGTTTGGGGTTTGTGTCGCTTGTGCACTCTGAACTCTGCCGCGCCCTTGTCCTATGGAACTCGTAACGGAGCCCTTGCAGAACCTTCAAAGGAACCCTGCTAGAACCCCCAGGCATTGCTTTTCGGAACCTTCAGAGAAGTTACAACCATAACGGAATCCTTATAAGGGAGTTTCCGAAAAGAGGGGGACCCTTAATATAGTACCCTAAATGGTAGGATCCTCATCATAAGGACCCCAAAATAAGGTACCCCCATTTTCGGAAACTCCGATATAGAACCACTATGAGACCGAAAAGCCATCTGCCCCCTCGAACTCAAGTCCCAGGATCGGCATCCCATCGCCAGTCGCGGCGGAGACGCTGGGCCCCAGCTGGGTTGATTAGCGTCCGCCACGCCCCAGAACAGGGCCACATCACGGTGATTGCAGGCACAACATTGTAGAGTTCTGGCTGCTTGTCCTCCGGTGCACTGGTTTCCCTCTTTTCGATTTCCGATTTGGCTCATGCAAGGAAAGGGATCAACTTCTCCAGTGGCGTGCTGGTCAAGAGCTACCTGGGATTCGGAATGACGCACATCCAGCACAAGGCTCCCCCAGAGAAAAGCACGGGAGGGTGGTTTCTCTTGCAGCCGCCCCCGCAACTCCCCCCGGCCCCCCCAAACGATGAGTCAGGAACACATAGCTCACAGCTGTTTGAATCGAGCTGCAGTGTAGTTATGTAGTCCTCATGCTCCCTCATTCGGCCTTCACAGCGACATCACGTCGGGAGGATCATGGGCTTGGAGGGCCCTGAGTTTGGGCTAGAGGCAATTGTTACTGTAGTTCCTCTAGATTCTAGATCCTTTGTAGGATTGTAGAACCCGTTATATTGATGAGCTTTTAAGCCGAATCCTGATAGAACCCCTTTCAAGCACTGTGTGCGCAGGTGAGAAGCAAGTTTGGGAGTGACCTCAGTTGCTATATGCAGGGCTCGCAGACCAAAGAGGAAGGTCCTCTTCAAGGAGACCGCTTCGGAGATGCGCCTAACTGCCGCAACCTGATGCACATGATGGCTCGACGTTTGATTCTTGATGTAGCGAAACTTATATACGGTAGACGTGAGGTGTACTGCCGCAAGCTATCGAGCTTATCTTCCAGCTTTGAGTCATCTTTTGGTGCAGCTTTCTTGGTTGACGGTCGTGAAGCCGTAAACCCTAAACCACACAGGCACAGCCACGTCTCGAAAACGCGGTCAGCATCAACACCCCAAGCACAACTTATATCCGACCATGTATTCAGAGGTGCAGGGGGTTCTACGGTTTCGCACTTAGGATTCAGGGTTTATGGGTGAAGATACGCCGATGACGTGCATTAAACCGTATAGTGTAGATCTCTAAACGCAGGCCTGGGCCTGTAACTTTCCTAGAGCCCCCTCAGAGACCCAGAGATGACGTGAAAAAGGCAAGCTCATTGCGGACCTCCTTCAGCAGGAGTCTGGGCGGCACTTTGGGAAGCTTTACCACACCAGAAGTACAAGACGCGGATGAAACCTGCAAAATACATACTAAGCACCATCTTAAATGCCAAGCAGCCCATGCAAAACCGCAACTTTAGACCCTAAGCAGCCCACATAAAACCTTCAAAAAAGAAGCAAACAAATCCCAAAAACCTGCATGAAGAACCCAGGAGTCGACTTCCTGTCTAGCTGAAAGTCAGGGCGCCTGCCTCGGGGATCTGAAGGCTCGGAGCAGCAAAGACTCAAATATGTTTGGAATTTCTAGTGTTTGGGACCAATGTATATATATATATATACATATATATATATATGTATATGTATAATGATGTTTACATATATATGTATGTATGTAGGTATATACAGGCACACATTGAGAGGGAATAGGGTCTTGGGTTTGGGGGTTTTGGATCTGGTCTTAGGGCTTTGGGTTTTGTGGAGTAGCCGTGGCGGCCGTGGTGATCATGTTGTTGGTGATGGTAGTGGGGTGGCCGTGGCGGCGCTGGTGATCATGTAGTTGGTGATGATATTGGCAATGGCAGTGGTAATAGTAGTGATCGCAGCAGCAGCGGCAGCAGCGGCCGGAGTGGTGGTGGTGGTGGTCGCGGCGGCGGCTTGTGGCGCCGTCGGGTGGTGGCAGTCGGTAGTCGTAGTAGTAGCAGCAAGTAGTCGTAGTACGCGTAGTAAGTCGCAGTAATTAGTGGTAGTGATGAGAAGTCCTGGTGGTGCTGGTGGTGGTGATGGCGCATCCCTTGAAGGGCAACCAGGACAGCGCCAGGGCAATTGAGGGGGACGTGGACTTCTACGGCGTCTCTGGGCCCTTCGTCTGCTCTTGGGGCTTTGGGGCCTTGCTGCTATTATTTTCTGGGGCCTAACTAATGACCTATGCTATCTTGGGGGTTTCCGTGTATAATTACAGTATAGTGAACCCCAAAACCCTATTCTATTCTAATTATAGGCACCTATGTTAGGACTCGAATTTTCGGACTCAGGGCTTCCGAACTTGGGTTCAGGGCCTTCAGGGTTTGAGTTTTCGCTTTGCAGTTGAGGGTTGATTGATATGTTGTGTTGGGTTTATGGTTTAGGGCCAGTTTAGGTTTTCGGTTTGGCCGGAGAACTATAACTACAGATTTCCTTGCCTAGCATGATCTGATCATGAAGCTGTATGGCCAGATACCAAGTTATTGTCTTGGCTTTGATTCTAATGTACAGCAAAACGTACACATCCTAAAGCCTAAACTCGCTAAGTTCTTAGAAGTCGCAACCTTGCAGCCCCTGGGAGAAAGAGGTTAAAAGCAAAACCTCGCTAAGTTCCCAGGCTCTGCGGGCTTAAGAGATCCCCCGGAGCTGGCTCTCCATTTCCTTGCATCAGCAACCCCGAAAACCGCAAGTCGTCTATTTTAGGGTCAGAGGATATACCAAGCCTATATAGCATAGTCGCTCCTACAAGATTGTTTTTTTTCTCCTGGGAAGGTTCCCGCAACTTCAGCCCTAAACTCATTCAGCGGCCCCTATACCGGGCCTGAAGCCGACTCCTCGGATTGTTTCGGACCCATGCAGCACTGGAGCACCCCCAATGCCATATCGCCTAAAGCTGCCTAGGTTTAGGTTTTAGGGATGTTTAGGGTTTAGGGTTAGCCTTAGTTAGATCCTGACTTACAAGATGGACAGGCGGGAGAAGGACATGCAACTGAAGCGAAGTAACACTTCCCTCAGCCCCAACAGACGTAGTGTGGCTCAGTCGAAACAGAACAAACACAACGTACTGGGCCTGAATAATTGCCACAAGTATTCGTTAGGCTTTCTCAGTAAAATTGCGGTAATCATACACCCCCGAACCGAAGGCTGTTGTAATCCTCAAAGGGCCCTACATGAATAGAGTCGAGGCTGACTTACGTCATGGACTTCGTCCGATGGTGGCTGCAGAACTCCGAGCAGAAACATCCCTTTCTGGACAGCTATCCGAAGCCTACGCTGAACGAGCTTCAGTCGGCTGTCGACCTCATGCCACTAGGTCGCATACTAGGGCTTGGGGTGTAGGGTTTGGGGCTTTTTTTGTTGTCGCATTGTGGCTATCGTGGCTCTCCGTGCCTTCAGACGCAGTGCGAAAGGAGGACGCAGCACCTCTAAAAGGCTCCGTCCCCTATCTCGAGGCTCATACCCTATACCCCTTTTGTAGGGTACGCAGTTCTCTGATTAGGATCTGTTTTTTCGAGAAGTAGATACCGTCAAAAAAGGGGTGGGGTATGAGCCTCTAGGTATCTTGCAGATAGCAGATAGCACTGTTCAAAGGGGAAAAGGAGGGACCCTTAATGGGGACCCCTACCCTATAATGGGCTACAGAATGGGTATATAATAGCTATATTAAGGGAAAATACCGAGGGGTCCTTACTAAGGGTCCCTCCTTTTACCCTTGGAACTGCACTCCTTAGATCTGTAACGAGGCCTCTGGGCTCCTGAAACGGCTGAGTTTGGCACTCGGATTGCATGGGAGTTTCCGGGGTCCGTATAATGAGGATCCTACTAATTAGGGTACTATACTATATGAGGGTCCCCCATTGTCGGAAACTCCCACATGGGCTGAGAACTCGAGCCCGAATGCGTGAATCCTGGAGCATGAAACCTAGTCAAACCTTACGAAAATTTACGAACTGAACCAGCGACACACACACACACGCAAAGACAGACATGCCCACTGACCACAGCGAGGTGTTCTGGGCACCTGGGCACTGAATCCTAAAGTCTACAATCTACAACCTAAGCCTAGGTGCTCCGGGCATTACCAGAGGATCAAGGACTGGACCGACCAGAAGTCGACGAGGCATCAGTTTACCGACTCTGGGTGTTGGAGTACCATACTTTATTGCGTTTTGTTATTCCGTGCCTTAAACGGAGCCACTATGAAATGATTACATATATATATATAGTTACTTCAAAGCCCAGGACTACGACAACCTGCCCTTCCGATGCTTCCAGGCCAACTACATCTTAGTGCTTCTGGGATCCTTGGCCATGTGTAGAGTTTAGGTTACGGTTTTTTAATTTAGAGCCAAATACATCTTGCTGCTATTGAGATCTTTGACCCGAAACTCTAAACTCTAAACCCCTGAAGTTTAAACCCTAAGTCTTGATGCTGTTCTTGAGGCTCAATCCCAGACCAGTGCCTACGTCTTCGAACGACCTGCCCTCAACACCGAACTCTGACGTCCTGAGCTTGCACCCTCAATAAAGTGATGTCATCCGTGGTGAAGACGGGATAGCTTTAACCCTACAATTCTCACATTTCCAGGCCCTGCAAGTGTACCCTCAACACACGCTCAAAACCCCCGACGAACACCATAAGTGTCCTGTCCACCGAAACTCCGAGGAGAAGTGTACGGCTTTGCGAAAGATTCGCGGAAGGTCACTTTTGCCCTCGAGGCCCCCTGGCCCGGTTTGTAAAATTTCGATAGAACTAGTATAGGGGCCTAAATATTTACCAAGAGGTATAACCGTATAAACCTAGTATATATATATATATATATATATATTAGGCCCCCAGAATCCCATTCTAATTATTAAGGCCCCGATGCTATTGCACCCTTATAGAATCTACCATAGTAACCATTGTAGACCCCTTTAGAGGGAACCCTTTTCTAATTATCAAGGCCCCTAAACTCCATCTCGAACTTGGGGCTCGGCAGCTCCTCACAAGACTCAGAACTCTATCTCTCTATATATACATTTGGGGGTTTCCGGAAATTAGGGGCCCTTGTTTTGGGATCCTATATAATAAGGATCCTACCACGTAGGGTGCTATATTAGGGTCCCCTATTTTCGGAAACTCCCATTTCTCGAAAGCGAACGTGAGGCCGACACCACAAGAGCCCGAGTGGCCTGAGATCAAGCTTCGGAGTGGCCACAAGCTTTGGCCATGAACGTCATAATAAGACACAAATCGGCCTAGCGTTAGTATTACAGTATTACCACTACCATTACTTTACCGTTACCATTGCTTTACTATTAGTCCCCCGGGAACAGACGCCAAAGAATATGCGTTCAAACCCTGAAAGTGTTTGTTGAAACGCTCTCGAAGTGGGTCTATAAGAGTTTATGGGTCAAGACAACCACAACTCCCGCTGCGGTGTGGTGCACTTGTTCGACAAAATACCCACAAAAAATCGTAACGTCATCTTGCCCTTCCAGTCGCTCGTAATCGGGAATATCCGAAAATTCCGAAAATTAGGGGTACCTTATTTTGGGGTCCTTATAATAAGGATCCTACTATTCAGGGTACAAAAAAAGGGGCCCCTATTTTCAGAAACTCCCTAATTGCTCAAGACCAAGCAGTGCCACACAGTTCGGCTCCCCGGGGCTCAGGGTCAGACCCCGGGAGTATCCAGAAAGTAGATCCCCTAATTGGGGCCCTATACTACTAAGGGTACTTTATAGGAACCCCCATTAAGGGATCTGCTTGTTGGATCCTCCCGGGGGTCTGGGGGTGTGTTCATCGTGGGTCTGATGACTATCCTCTTCTGCAGTTCCGAACAAAAACCAGTTGTGTTCTCTAACCCAAGCCGTATATTGGGCCCCATATTAAACATAGAACCCTTGTAGATTCTTTCACTCTTGCAACAAACCCTAGAAAGGAACCAAACAAATATTCAGCCCCCATTATCAAGACCTGAATCCCGGGCAAAGTCGCAAGCTTCTCAGGTGGACGGAGAAGACCTTGAGTGGCCTCTAGGCGCCTCCAACATGAAGCGCTACGGTTCAGGCTAGAGAGTTTAGGATGTATGGTGGTGACAAACTTTGTGGCTTCAGCACTTTATGTATGATGATGATGATGATGATGACAATGGTGATGGTGTTGCAATACTGGTAAGCTGGTCGTTGTGATCGTGGTAGAGGCAGCAGGAGCGACAGCAAAATCTTCCCAACATGGTCATCATTCACTCCTGCCAGGATCGGGCGACTTAGTAAGCAGGGCTGTGGCTGCTGTAAATAGGCTAAGGACTGGGGGAGGGGGGGGGGGGAGTTTTTCGTTTACCCGAGTCTGGTATTTTCTCGGAGTCTTAATTACAAAGCCCACACCTAGGCAGAATCCGCGACGCGCATCTCCGACAGCAAACACCGAAAGGAACGTGGGACTTAGCACAAGTTGTGCTTTACAATTTCAGTCTCAATGACGGTATATCCTTATTATACTAAGCACCCTGATCCTCCAAGCATGCATCGTCCTCAGGCAAGATCTTTTTCAGCAATTCGAACTCCAAATCGCTGCAGGCAGCCCCAAAGTTTTATCGTTAAGCCCAAAGCTTGTACGTATGGGTTCATATATGTATATACATATAGAATAGACACATATATTTTTGTATATATATTATAGATATGCTGTACATACATATGGAGCGAGAGAGAGAGAGAGAGAGAGAGAGAGAGAGAGAGAGAGAGAGAGAGAGAGAGAGAGAGAGAGAGAGAAAGAAAGAAAGAAAGAAAGAAAGAAAGAAGGAAAGAAAGAGAGAACGAGAGAAAGCGAGAGAGAGAGAGAGAGAGAGAGAGAGAGAGAGAGTGAGACGGAGAGGGAGAGCGATAAACAGCTGTGTAGGCGGACAGGTAGGTAGAGAGGTTGGACACGCCAAGCCCGAAACGACACAGGGGCCCTTCTTCACGGGCGCTCTCAACCCGGGCAAGCAGAGGCCACAGGCGAACTGTGAGATTCTGTGTCCAACTTAAAGCTGTGAAGCTCGGGTTTTTTGGAGCGGCCCATTCGTATAGGTGGCCTCTCGTTTGCACAGATCCCTATACAGATCCGTGATGCAGAAGAGACCTGCTTGGCTTCCTTCCGGCTGTGATGAAGCGGAGTGGCTTGAATGGACTCTGGGGTCACGGCTGGTCGAGAGCGGCCCAATTGCTTTGTTTCGCTTCTCTTTTGCACATGTAGAAGATTTTGCCTCCTTCTCGCTGTAAAGCAGAGTGGCTTGAATGCATCGTGGGATCCGCAACGGCTGGAGGACACAAGCGTAAGGTTAGTTGTGGACGCTGCCTTCAACATGACGACTTGCAAGTCGGGTTTCCCGCAGCCGTTGCGAACTCGGATTTGCAATCGTATTCAACGTACAGCAGCGGTATTTCTGCCACGAGTGAACAGACGCAGCTCCACGCGGAGTTGATTGCAGAAGCCGTCCCCGCGTGTTCCGTGAGCGCCGTCGCTAAAGTCCCTGCTCACTGGATATGAGATGAGTCAGTCTCTGGTAGTCGTACCATCCGCACAACGACCATGGTCGTCGTCAGGCTCATTAATTGTCGTGGCCGTCATCATCATGACAAGCATCCTGCTACCATTGTCATCACCATCATCTCCACGGCATCCTCAACCTCATCATCGACTCATCATCAGCATGATCACCGTCGTGATCATCATCATCATCATCGCCATCGACATCATCATCATCGTCATCATCATACTCATCAACACCATCATCGTCATCGTCGCTGTCATTTTCGACATCATCGTCACGTCTACCACCACAAGCGGCGGCACCATCATGTTCATGGACGTCGCTGGCATCAGAACTTTGGGGTCAAGGCAATGGTTCCGGGTGTTGAAACGCTCAATCAACACTGTCGGGGCCTAAACAAGTACCTATACTATTTTGGGGATTCCTGATTATACATGGGTGGTTGTCAGAATTAGGGTCCCTTGCTGGGACCGCTAATTTTCGGAAGCTCCCATATAATCAGTATGATGGCCGCCAAAACCCTATTCTAATTGTTGAGGCCTCGATATTATGCTCTTTACATAATCGCGCTTGCTGGACACTGCATGATGCACGAGGAAGAGACCGTATCTTAGTCCTTAGTTGGCTGGTAGAGATTGCAAGATGCACATGACCAAAAGCCCAAAGGTCTGCAGTTTCTCAACATGATTTGTGTGCAAGAGGGATCCTTACAGAGAAGGGACAGTTCCATCGCCCTGAGGCGCTGAACTTGCTACATGATAGGTCTTCTCAAATTGATGAGCCCTCAGCAACCGCGACTGCATAAGGCTGCATACCCTGCTCATACCCAGAGCCACATTCCGATAAATTGAATTACCCCACGCATGCAAAGCAATAATTTTGCCTGCGCGTAGACTATAGCAACGGTCTTGCATCCATTCTTGATTCCTTTGCTGAAAACACCGACTTCGTAAAACCTTAGCCTAAGGCTATCCTGCAGACCTGTTGTTCGTGAACGATTGCACAATGCTGCGGCAGTTTTTCAACTGCGGACGCCGGGAGCCCGGTCGCAGTTCAGACAAGCCATGGCTGATAAGATTAGACTACGCTCAGACAACAGCGTGCAGATCGGCAGCAGGCTGAATGTTCATCATCGACATCAATCCGCATCCTAACCTGCATCGGCATCACAACCAGCATCCTCATGATAGAAGCTGATGATAAGCATCCGACCACGAGGTGATGGTTATTGTGATGCCACGCGCGCACGCGCGCGCGCGCGCGTGTGTGTGTGTGTGTGTGTGTGGAACACTTGATTGCCAAGGTTTACTGCCATTCAATCAATCAGTTTTGCAGGGGGCTGGAGTGCAACACAGAAGTCTCCAGCCAATGAAGACGCTTCTGTGCTTGCAGCGCAAACGTACATGCAGTGGTGCACCTGGGGATAGCGAATCCAGCTGGTGGCCATAACATGATGCTGTGAGTTTACTGCATGGCACTGGGGCCAAGCCACAAACCCCATATGTGATTTCTGTTGAGGCCAGAGGTAAAGCCAAAATCCTCTTAAAGTCCTACACCTCTGAATGTTCCGACTGAAATTCTCGAGAGTTCTATCAGTCCAGAGGGAGGATTGCACGAGTGTGTGTGTGTGTGTGCGTGTGGTGGTTGCCAGGTTGATGACGATTATGATGATGATGTTGTTGTTGATGATGCGGGTGGAGGTGGCCGTGGTCATGAGGGTGGTTTGCAGATTAGCAGATAGATGCAACCGGCGACTGGGTCGACCGACATGTCGCTGACACTCCAGGCAGTGCCGTACCCTACGATCAGTTTCGTCAGGTTGTGAGGCATCCTCCGGCACTGCTCTCCCAGCTCTTCGCGCACCTCGTGAACGTAAGGAGGTCCCGGAAAGGAAGATTTCGTGCAAGAAAGGTGTTCTCAAAGGGTTACTGCAGGTGTAACTTTCAGGGCACCAGAGGGGTTACATACTGTAACGAAATATCATGAGAATATACTATAGTATGTAGGAGCATTATAGATATTATCAGGGTTGAATATAGAAGCCTGAGTAATTTCCAATCTCGCTCCAGAGAGCTCCCTATTCTCAATGTACTATCATATTCCCCCAGGTTTTTTTTCTAATTCGTAAGGCCCCGATATTACACCAGTTGCTGTGGTCTCCGCGTGCACTCGTGATTTTTGTGGTGTAATGCAGAGAAATCACGATGCTTGTTCATGATGCGCTTGAGACTAGTGGTGGCGATGGGGATGATGCTTGTTCGGCCGTCGGGGACGCGCGGTTACACCCCTAAGCCACTACACTGTTTTAAGGTCTCGCTTAAGCCGAAAACTTCAACTTCATAGCTACGGATATGTCAGTGTGCAAGTCGGAGACGCAAACACGCTCGAGTGATACAGGGCTCCTGGATCAAAGTAGCCGGCAAGAGTCGCTATAGTTCTTGGCCAAGACACTCTCGTGTCTGGCTTGAGTGTGCCCTTCAACAGTACAGCTTCAGTATGACCTTGAGATTACGAAATGGGTTAGGACCGCTGAGCCTGCTTCTGTTTCAATTTCGAACCCGCGCCTCAAAAACTTCAACAGCCTGCCAAATGCTAATAAGTCGAAACTATAAACATCTCTAAACCCTACCTATAGTCCCATTGTAGTTCCTTTTTGGGGTTACCCTATATATAGGATTCTGAATATATAATTGGTTAAACCAAAAAAAGGAACTACAATGGAGACCATAGGTAAACCGATCTTTCCCACAGAAGTTTAGAGAGGCTCGCAGAGGCGCTGGCTCGATCTGCCTCACGAACTCCGTGCGCCCACTCAGAAGCAGGGTCCAGGGTTGCCGTTCTTCTGAGTCTCTTGTCTAGAGATCAATGATAGAAACGACCGACGATGACAAAAAGGTTTATTCAGATATACGGACTGTGGTTAAGACCCGATCTCCCTTTACGGCTTGAACTGGGAGTCAAACCTGTTGGGGTTTGTCAAGAGGTGCCCCGTCAGGAGCCGGAAGGCCAGAAACTCCTCGGTTTAAGGCTGAGTAGGGTTTAGGTTTAAGGAAGACCGCTGATAGACATTCCCTTTCGCAAGAGGCTGTAGCAGGGGTTAGCTGTGTACAAATGGACAGGAAGCTGACACCCTGAGATTCATCAACCGTGCATCCCTAGATCAAGCTGCAGCTACTGGACTGTTGGAAGAGATGCTGGTACCCAATGCCTGCATGAACCAAAAGTAGAGATTAGAGTTTAGGGGCTTATGGTCGATGTCCCACGTGCAGCATCAGACTGAGAAGCCAGATTTGCCACACCACCGCTTGGCTCAGCAAAGGCCGGCGAATACCGTCACGACTTTCATGACATAGCACCACCTGTAAAGCTGAATAGTTATGTACTGCGAATGGGTGTACCAGAACTGCCAATGCTCTACAAAGCGAGAGCCTCTAGAGAAGTGGAAGGCCGTTCTTCCTGGAAGAGTCGGTAAGTACTGACAAATGTTAAGCTGGTCAAACTTCAACCGAACTTTGCGCAGAACTCTTATCCTGCAGGATTGAAGCCTAATCCCCGCGCCTTAGTCCGTGACGTCTGTGCAGCATATGTCCGAAACCTTGCTGTCAGCATATCTCCGAAACCCTGGACCCTGGTAGCCAGGACGTGCTGCAACATCCGCCATCTTGCCACGCCGTCCTGAGCTTAGCACTGCAGTTCTACTTTGCCCATCTATCATTGCAGGTTTGTAGATTTTTAGCTTCCGTCTTGCCCACCCTACTTTCCTGAAGTGTCACTCGCATCTGAAATTACAGAATCTGCTGAAGCTGCATGACAGGTTAGCCCGGCAGATTTTCGCTTGATTGTTCCATGGTCCAGATTCCAATGTGACGAACTGCTTCCGCTCTCAGGTTTTGAAGCACCGTATACACAAGGCATGAATAACTTTTTGGCGTCAGATGCCGCTTGCAACACAGGAAGGTTGACATACTGGTTGCTACGGGTCTGAAGGACACTTTGCCCGGTTCTGTCTGAGGCAGACTCGGACAAGCAGCGGCTTTGCGTATGCCGTGAGGAGCTCTCCGTTGGAGCCTTGGCAGTAGCGCACATTAAAGAGGCCCGATCGATCCGTAGTGCATCCGCCTTATCTCAGCCGCGATAGGATAATCGCTAGAATCGAATCCCTATTCCTAAGCATGCCGTGGTCGCTGACCTGCCTGAGACAAAGCTGTCAGCATTCTATAGCACTCTCCCAGAATATATTCTCTAGTCGCGATTTTTGCTTGCATCATGGTCATCACCGCCGCTAGCTGTTGTAGCAGCATTTCTAGGCATGCGTAGCAGCTCGGATTCCGGGGAAAGACTGCTAAGCCATGCTAAGCCCTGAGCAACACACCCCAACATAGAAAGCTGAACAGCTAGTACTACTAAGCCTCAGGGTTCATAGGAAAGTTGTGAGCTGTGCAGATCAAAGTCACAGTTGGAGTTGCAATCTCATCTTCACGGCTTAGGGCTGTTCTCAGAGGGCTTTTAATTTCGGGCTAGACTCGTTGTACCTCCCTCCGTTGAGAGTGTGAGTGAGTGAGTGGTGACGTTTGTTTCACACATTTGCGGATCGACTTAACTCCACCCTGCCCATCCCCATAAAGCCTGTATAGCCTGCGCCCAAACCAGAAATCCCACATCTACGCCCAGGCCGCACCCCTGAAACCGGCAGTTCGCGAGCGCGCCGACACTTCGAAGCAAATCGCCGATTCCAGCCAGGTTGCGTAATGTACAGCTTGAGACATGTCTGGCAATTTAGGTTTGTTCCTCGGTTTTCGGTACTTTAAGCATATCATATACTGATATACTGCCTATACTCATAAACGATTACATGTGGGTTTTCGTATGGAAATTACTTGTGCCAAGACTGCCTGGGCATCGACTCCGGGGAGTCCGGAGCTGGTAAACCTGAAACCCCAAACCCTTAATATAGCGGCCTAGTAGGGGACCCTAATATAGTACACTAAATAGCAGGGTCCTTAATATAAGGACCCCAAAATAAGGTACCCCTCATTTCCGGAAACTCCCATATACGGGCCTTTATAATTACCTATACTATTTGGGGGATTCCTTGTTACAAATACAGAACAAAAAACCCTTGGATCGAATCTGAGATTTCTGGATCTTGTTGCCGGCTTTTTGGGCGGATGGAATGTGTTCTTTGTTGTGTTTGTCATTGTCGCTATGATATGATATGTTGATGCCTGGATACATTTGCGTGCGAGCTCCTTGCCCGCATAGGAGTAAACTCAGTCATGCCCAAAGTAAAATCCTCAAGAGCCAACGGCAGACTTCAATCAAATCAGGACTCTCCGCCATAGAACCGCGTAGCTCCGTGCGACACGCTCAGGAGGCTACCGCCGAGGCCTGCGCATCCAATTGAGGAGCTTCAGCTTCTGCTTCTGCCCGCCCTCTATAGAGGCCTTAATATTTAATAATTAGATAGGGTTTTGGGGCCCATTGTACCATAATTCGAATAAGGAGCCCCAAATAGCATTGGCCCCTAAATTAAGCCTTCATCGTCATGATCACTGCCAATGAGCGTGGTCGTCTTCACCGTCGTCATCATGCTCGCTTTATCATTGTCACTGTCACCACGGTCTTCGTGTTTCTCGCGGCAGTCACCATGCACATCGCCGCTATCGTCGTCACAAGCATTGTCATCACCCACACCTGCATCTGCTTCGTCATCTCCTAAGCATCATCATCACCACTCGCCCTGTGACCAGAATCGCCTTCGCTGTCTCCGTGGATGCCTTCGTAGTCATCATCTAGTTCATTTCAGCAGCACCAGCACCAGCATCGGCTTTTTCAGAGTTGATACCACCCATACCTTGAAACCCCCGAGTAACCTCTCGTCACGCCAGAGTAAACCTATATTGGACCGTTCAGGGCCTTTCCACAGGCCTGAAGGGTTTTGGAGTGTCCCGGGCCTCGCACAACTGTATGTGTTTAGGGCTGTAGAAGTTGTTCAGGCCTTCATGGGACTTTGGGTCAAGGGCTTGGCAGTTTTTGCGGCTTAAGGCTTAAGCTTTTCTACTTCCCCAAAGCACGGCAACAGTCCGAGGTAGCATTAGGGAGACCCCTTGAAGGGGATCCTTCTTAGCCCTACTTCCGGCTTTCTTAAAAGGGACCGTATCGAGAGTGTCTATATCCCCAGGGGGCCCCCTAAGCCAAAATTCCTAAACAGAGGGGCCCGAAGCCAGGCTGCTGGATGGAAGCCCGGTCTTCGCCGCATGGCTCCTCGATCGAACGCGGAGCTCAAGTCTAAAATCGTGTAGAACCCTGGAGAGAATCCTTTTGTATGGTTTTTCTGGAGTTTATATAACAGTTCTAGCCCTTATAACCTTCAAAGACCCAAAGTTCAAGCTCCGATGGTTCTGCATCCTCCTAGACAGCATCACCCTAGCAAACCTGCTTTTTTTTAGCGTCCCTTGACATAAATTGTTCAACTGATTCAACTGTAGCCAGGACAGTTTCTGGAGGTTTAAGTAAGCCGGTAGCCCAGAAGAATCGAATCCGGAAAGCCTACCGGTCAAAAGTTCATAGGGTCACAGCGTGTGAGCTCGATACTGAAGGGTTCTGTACGATAGAATGTTATGACACAATGTAATTCGCTGCAATATACGAACGACAGTATGCTAAACAAGAAGTATACAATAATATAATGGTGGGTCCATACTTCTAGCAGCAGTGACGGCTCGGAATTGCCATGCTCATGACCGGATCAGGCGGTGCACGCGAAAGGGCTGCAGTCCTTTGGCACCGTCGCTGCGGCGGCGAAGGCCAGGACTTGTACCCTCATGGCTCCTCGCCTATGTAGGGATGATTTTTCTCAACCTAAAATAGATACTTTAAAATGTGGAAGATCCCTTAAGTGCTGAAGATTAGTTGCGAGGGTATTTGAAGCCGAATCCTTGTTTCTGGCCCGAGAGCTAGCACAAATACGACAAGTTAACGGAAGGAGGATGCGACCCAACCTGACACGGGCTTATTTGCATTTCGATAATTTCCACAGCTAAGTCCTAAGGAATCGCCCTTCCTTCTTGGAAGGCTTTTGGAATCCTCGGATCTACATCAGCCAGCCAGCGAAGACCCTGAAACCGGCCTCCGCGCAGGCCCACTCGATACATGTGCCCATGCTCCTGGTGGCTGCGGGTCACTCGGTGGCAGCGCTGAACGCCACTTCACGGACGCTGCGTGCAGCGAGGCCGTTGTGATGTTAGTAAGTCTCTAGTTGCCTTCTGAATTTCAGTCTGCTCTTGCAAGGGATGCTGGGCTCGGATCCAAGTAGATCAACATCCCTCGGCAAGAAAACGTTGAGAAGATCTCTTGAAGTATTCGGAATTGCACGGCCCTAGCGCACACATCTTGCAGCATTCCCGGAATGAGCAGTATCATCCTTACCATCATCTCAGTGTCGTCATCTTCATGACCATGACCACTATGACCATGCTCATGCTTACCATCAGCATTCCCGTGTCTTTCGGCATCAGTATTCCCCCTGTAGTGGAGTCACTACTAGGTTTGTCATCATCATGACCATCATCATCGTCATCGTAATCATCATCAGTCTCGTCCTCATCGCTGAAGAACCACCACGACTGCGCTACTGTTACCCCCACTGGTCATCATGGATAGGCGGAATTGGTCGAGTGCTGATCCCCGTGTTCCTGCATGATTTAGGAGTTGGAAGTTGCACCCCCCCCCCCCCCCCCCCCCCCCCCCCCCCCCCGCCCCCCAGCTCGGCATTTCAGATGCTTAAACTAGCTCACATTGGAACAAGTCGTGATTGTGTGCTGCAGTAAGATCTTATCAGGCTCCGCTTTCCCAAGGCCTACATTTCTTTTCTAAGCCCTAAACCCCTAAACCCTAAACTCCGAACCCTAAAAACTCTGAACCCTAAACCCTGAACCCCTAAACCCCTAAACCCTTAAACCCCTAAACCCCTAAACCCTTAAACCCCTAAACCCTAAACCGTGGCATCCCTTTCGATCCCGTCCCGTCTTCCCGCGAGGGGCTTCGACCCATCACAGCTTCAAATCTTCCTCGCCTGCTGCGGAGCACAGGTCGGCACGATCTTTCGAGTTGCTTTTTTGTCTGTTTTTCTCAAGCTTAGAGCTTAAATAATTGCCTATACTATTTTGGGGGTTCCTTATTTGCTTCGGGTTTAGGGTTGAATTAGGGGTTTAGGGCTCAGGGCTATATGGCCGGTGTACATCAGGTTTTCGTGATATGGCCACCGGCGTCGTGCGTTTCCCGTCGTTCGGGTTAGAATTTGATCCTGGGACCTAGCGTTCAGATACGGGGCCAACTGACTGCAGGGTTTAGGCTTTAGGTTTTGCGACTAGATTAATGAACAGCTGTGTCTGTGTATATTTATACATACACATCTAATGTGTGTGCACATCATAATTACATACATACTACGGGATAAGCATCGTAATCATCAACTTAGTCTTGACACGGCAGCTGAGAATAAAGAATGATACGAGCTAGTGGCGGCAATAGTATTGGTGTCCGTGTAAGTTTAAGTGTGAGCTCTACTAAAAGTACCAGCATCAATATTCGCAATAGTGTGTTGTGCTAGTAGTGGCACCCGGCAACTCAGCAGAGCTCCCAAGGGCACTCGGCTTTCTAGTGAAATTCAATCCAGCTTTGTCTTGTGGTTAGGGATGTCTCTGCTTCTTGAATACCGCCATAGTGTAGGGTTTTGGCATTGTGGGAGCTTCTGATTCTGGGAAGCCATGCAAACAGCAAGCTCCACAAAAAGGAGCCCTCAATCCGATCCTTGCGGATGCAGCCATTGAAGTAGGCGGCGCATGAGACCCCTTCCACAAAATATTCTTCGCAGTGTCCTGGGCTCCCAGATGAGCTATTGTATACATAACCTTGATAAAAGGCGCCGTAGAAGCATGTAGTAAGCAGCACCTGATAAAGACGGCTGCTGCAACCAAGTCTACAGAGCAGAAATGCTTGCAGTTCCGCGTTGTTTTTAATGTCTGAACCTTATTATAGAAAACCATAGATCCCTGGTTCTCGAAAGCTAGACACGAAGACAGAAGTCTTTTCCCAATGCAACGCTGATGACGGTTCCGCCGCCTCCGGCGTCTGTGCGAGGTGCTACTGAGGCAGGGCAGGGAGAGGGAAATTATGATGGTGTTGGTTCGTATTACCTTAGTGCTGCCTTTGGCGATTCATGACATGGGAACCCAAACCCGGATATTCAAGTTGATGCAACAAACCATAAAGCTAACAGCGCCAGCAGCAGACGCAGTGGTGTTGTCTGGGTTTGGCTTCCCGGTGGCTGGTGAACCGAAGGTTTTCAGAAGCTGCCTGCATATTGGCTGGTAGATTTCAAACCACGCGTAGGGTGTAAGTACGTGACAAACCATAGGTGGCTGCAGACTTCCGGACCCCTTATGGTCCCTATAGTTATACGACATTTTGCCCCAAGAACCTGCTCCACTCAATATCGCACAGCCCCAACATGAAGTCAGGCACTGCAGGTGGCCTTCGCCATTGCAGCTCTACTTAGCGGAGCGCTCTTAGTTTCTGCATTGAGCCACTGCGCTGCAGTTCTGGCAGGGGCAACGGTTTGACAAGGACTACACTGCAGAACCCTGTTGTAGTTATTGAGCCCCCTATTTCGTGTGGGAGGGAGAGCGAAAGAAAGAGAGAGAGAGAGAGAGAGAGGCAGAGAGAGCAACAGACTGGGGTAAAACCCCTACATCATAGCCCTGGAGAAAGAAAGAGCAACCTAAGACCCCTCCACCCCCTGGCCTCCTGGTCTTTCGGAATCCAGAGTTGCCCCAATTGTCCGCTGCCCTCGAGGTCGGGACGTATGGAGCAAAGTGCTGACAAGCCAAGAGGCGTGGAGATGTCATGCTCTTGCGGCTTCAAGACTTATAACATATATAACTCATATCTACCCCCATACATGTCCCAAGTTTGAAAGTTTTGGGACTTGTGCCCCCTACTACGTCCCCGGATTCCGCGAAGTAAGTACAAGGTCGTGGTGGTTATCTGGCTAAACCTTGAAAAGGCCCTAAATCCTGAAACCTAAACTTCCAACAAAGGTCATTCGCACTGGTACGAACGAGAGCCTCCTGTGGTCTGGGCTGACCTAGAAGCAGAAAGAGGGTATTGCCAGTGCCCCGACCTCCATAGTCTGGCTCACTGCAAGATGACTCATGTGTGTAATGGGCTGTAAGAGTCAATCACAGGATCACGGGATTCAGGGCATGCATGACTGAAGGCACTTGGAACGGTGATGACGCACATGTGGGGGAGGGGGGATGAAGACTTAGGGTGTCCTGATTTCTGGCGTTTGGTTGTGTCTGCATCGTAGTCCCTCTAACCGACTCTCTGTAGGCCAATGATATCAGTAGATCTGAATAGAATTGAAGACTCAACTAGCCGTACAGTTGTCCTTCCAAGCATCGTCGTGTACCCACCTTACGTGGAGGGTGCAAATTCAGCCTCTCGCAGGTGGATCGGCACTCGCTGCATGCTCATTTCAACCTCGCCGAGGGATGCATGCGTGCGCCTTGAAGGAAGCAAGGTGGCGATGTTGGTTTCTAGATCCGTGGGTTTAAGGTCTGGTTGCTGGGGTTAGGCAAGGCTTCGGCTTTCGGGTTAATGGAGCAGGTCACGGGTTTGCTAGCTCGGATCAAGTTGGGGGCTAAAGGTTTGCAGGCACCAGACTGCATATTCGAAGGGAGCACGAGAGGGTTTGTAGACATACTAGGTTATTATCTGTGCAGCTTCGGCAGTTCTATTATTATATAATTACTATATATAATTACTATAATTACTAGTAGTTCTGATTCTATGTTTGGGTTTCGAGGACCCCCTCAGCCTAGAGACCAACTTGAGAGTGTCTTCGTTTGCCACCCTCCAGGTGGAGCCTCGGAAGTCCGCACCATTAAACCCGGAGGAGCTAGCCACAGCAATTTCAGGCCCGAAGCCCTAAACCCTAAACTCCTGAACTCCAAAACCCTTTAAAAAAAAAGAATTCAAGAGAGGGATTAATAAGCTGAATGTCTGCTGTGCCTCTCTCTCTCTCTCTCCCTCTTTGCGGAGTCCAGGTGCGCTTCTACCCTGACCGTGCTCAGCCGTGGAAGCAGGCCTTTGAGTCTTGATGTGTTGGGGTCTAGGGTTTAGGGTTTTTAGGGTTCAGGGGATGCTTGGGGCAGCGAGCTGAATCCCTTCACCAGGATCCTCTCACAAGGTGATCAATGCCCAAAAGACCGAACTTAAGGTTGTATAGCACCGTGCCTGGGAATGACCACACGGCCATGGCAGAGAAAGCAAATTGACGGAATTTCCGGCTGATAACGATGATCATGATGGACGACGAATGCGATGATTATTATTGATTATTGACTTGCGGAATGTGCAATACGAGATGGTTGTTTTGATGATTGTGCGCTTGGTTTTGACAAGGATGGTCGTGGTTCGGTGGGCAGCTTCAACTACATCTGAGATTCTACTGTCATTCTTCCCCAAACCAGTCCACACCCCTCAAGCTCTACACACTGTATACACGACACTGAATAGCTGCAAAGTGCCCACATGCCTTGATTAACCAGCTATTTGCGAGATTGCCCCTCTACTTTAAATTTTAAATCCAGTGTCACTAGTCACCCTGTAATCTTTAATCCTCAGACCCCAAATATCCCTAAAGTCTGAATGACAAGCCCCAAACCTTCAAAACCCGGAAACCTAAAGCCTTTGACGCTTAAAACCCCTGTAGCCCAGGTGCCTGAGCCTTTGCGCGTGCCTTGGGTGCCCCTCGCGCAGCTTGCGGAGGGACCACCTGGCTTGGCAGAGTTTCGCAGGCTTCCCTTGAGTGTTGCCGGCGAAGGATTTTGGGGGGGTTTAGGTTTGCGGGTGTTAGGGCTTCAGCCCAGACCCTACAGAGCCTAAACCTTCAGGGCTTTTGGGTCTTAGGGGCTGTATACGGTGCCAGAGTTTGAGAGGGGTTCTTGAGAATTGAGGATCAAAGCCTCAGTGGCTGCTGCAAAGCTCGATGCTTCGGGGAAGGATCCTGCACGGTGGGTTTGGAGTGGGTTATGACACACATTCTATGCTGTAGATTGTGATGCATATGCTATGTATTATATACTATCTATATGTAACTCCCATATTATGTTGTATTGCATGTGCTAGTTAGTATATGCTCATACATGAGATGTTAGATACTGTAGAATGTATTATACGTTATACAACTTCATCCTTTGAGCCTAGAGTCGCCTGTGAGGCTAAAGCAGACCCTTGCCTTCCAAGTTCAGACATGTTCGGCTTGAAGGCCAAAGTGCGGACTACGCAGTATCCTAACGTTGATACTCGAAACAAATCACAAGCCAACGCCCTAAACGGTGGATCAAGAAAGCGCCGAGATCGGGATCGCAGCAGTTCAGCAGAGCATGGCCTCCCGGCTTTTGAGGGCGAAGTCAAATAAAAAGACGAGCACTGGGCAGCAAGCCCCTCCACTGGAAGCACTCGGAAGTTGATGCCTAAATCTACAATCACTGAACTGAGTTCTGCAAAGACGACTAGTTTTGAGGCCCCCGCGTCCTACCTCATGGTTCTTTCATAAGTGACGACCCATACAACGCCTTCACCACTGTCAACTATTAACTGCCCCAAACCTTTTCATATGTTTATCCTAACCCTTCTATGGTAAATTATAGGGTATCCTACCAACTTTCTGGAGTTCCGTACAAACCAAGAGGCAGCTGGTTCGTCCTGGTCAGCGGGTGGACGCTCTCGGCGCGCTGCCGGGAGAGAGAGACCTTGACGCCGGGCCTTCCTTTGCAGCTCTCGGAAGGGTTGCAATACGGTTAGTGAGGCTTCATCGGTTCTTGTATTAAAGGTGGCTTGACAAGTAAGGTCTTATGATGAAAGAGAGATCAGCTGCAGGGCTTGGGTATTCCAGCTTATGTTTGTGGTTTGGCCAGCACCGCCACGAACATACGTTGCGCTGACCATCGCACAAGCTCGCGAACCTCCCGTCCTGAAGCACCCTGAGTCCATGCTGAACGTTGCACCATACCCACAATCCTGACTTTGTCATCGGATCGCCAAGGAGTTTGTGGTGAAGAACCTGGACAAGTCTGCCAGGTGCGAGTTTGTGAATTGTAGATCTGGCGGGACAATGTTTGCGAATGAGGCCTGTAAGCTACCTGAACTGCATCTCGACCTTGCCAGCTCCGCGCAAGTTCAAGGACCCCTGTGCAAATCCCTCCAAACCCTAAGCCCTCATCTCTTGACTGTAAACCCGAGCTTATAACCCTTGTAAAGAACTACACTTGACTCCGAAGTCCCAGGTCATCTGTCTTCTCCCTTACATAGAATTCATGGGGAGACTGCGTGTAAGTGAGAGTGGGTTTAAACCCCCCCCCAGGTCGCGGGATTGGGATCCCACCTACTTCCACGAGTTGGATGCTGTGTCTGTGAGCTTCTCAGCGGTTTGGAGGTTAGTAGGGGTGGTACCTTGGACGCTACCTTCGAATGTTGGTTTCAAGGTCCCACGAAGGTTCCCTTAAAGATGCCCCTAAAAATTTCAGGAGGGTTTTTGATAAGGATGGAAAGCGGGGTTTAGGGATGGATTTGGCGGATGTCCGTTGTATGGAGGGGGGTGTCGACCGTAATTTCGCGGATCGGAGTTGTTGCTCGGCTGTTTGGCTTTCCGCCATTTTGCTGGCTGCTGGGTGAGACGGATGATCTTCAGATCTAGCAGAGTGGCTTTGAGCTTTGATGGGTTGTGATCCCTCTAGATTCCATGCCGAGTCTCTAGGGACGGCGAAATTGAAGCAAAACTATTGACCTCATTGACCTCGAAGAGTTCCCAGACGAGACGACGCTTTGCAACAAGCGCTTAACCCTGCACCTTAATGTCCTCAAGCCCCATGTAACACACCAACACCCTCCAAACCTGCAACTGCCGGGGACGAAATCTTTAAAACACTGAAATTGCTTTCGTAATTGAAATCAGCTTCTCTTCGGGGTCTTTGTTTTTGGGATCCTATTCTTTCAGGCTTTCAGATGTCTACTACGGTCCATTTTTCTGAATCTGCGAAAGAGTCATCCTTGCCATTGTCACCATGACAAACTGCATTGTGTGAACGTGTGCTGTATGTAGACGTAAGGCCTCATGGGACATGACGACTGCAGTTCCTGCTGTGACAGCTACTGCAATATTTTGTTTGTTTTTCGACGTTTCCACTGGGCACAGGCACTCGTGCATCTTTGCTGCTGCGCAGCTCTTCTGTGTCCTCGAAGCAAGGAGTTTACTTGGATGGAGAAAATACGGCCGTCGAGGGCTCTTGGGCTGTATTGATGTGAAACGGTAAACCAACAACCACGACTAACAACCAGTCTGTTCAGAGTAGTGGTGGCACTGCCGTTGCTGTGGTTGCAACAGTGAAGTCGAGAAGTCAGGCACGCTTTAGTCAGGCCCAACTCAACGACTCTCACGGCCCGGTGGTTTAGGTTCTACTGCAATTTCAATTGAGAGGCATATTCCGGCGCGGTAGTTGTAGTGAAGAACACTCTAATGAGAACGCCAGTACATCTGCAAGCCTTGCATGGCCTTGCCGGGGTCTTCACATCTCAAGTCGACGACGAAAGGCACACTTCCATGGGTCAGAAGACAACGCATATCGATGTTGGTAAGTGTACATGCCTGTGTCGATAAGCGTAGCTCAGGCTCAGCTTTCTCGCGCTTATGGCAGAGCTCATTGGCGCATCCTTGCACAGAAGGTGTGTTGTCGGCTTTTCGCCCGGTTTGAGTTCAAGGGGGTGCCGAATCTGCATGTGCTCACATTCTGTTCCATCTGCTGCCATGTCGGGTTCTCTTATTGTTGAGCGACTGCAGCTGCGCATGCTGCCACGATTACTACGACGCTACGAATCACCATCACGCTGGCTTTCTGGCTTTTGCCCATTAAATTAGTACCGAGCGCAATATTCGGCTGATGTATGCGTTCTCCTTATCGACGCTTCCAGTCCTCTTACCTCTTCGCTCGTGCAGAAGAACAGCCGTTGCTGTCATTGTGGATGTGGTTGCATGTTTCATAAACGTGTGCAGCATTTTCGCATGTCAATTGTGTGGGGGTCGCGATCATGATGAGGGCGTGTTGGGGTTCATTTTTCATGCGAATGACGATTCACCGTGGCTTCGGTTGCGGTGCCGCTGCATGCTCGTGACAGCATTGCCGCTTGCACCCTCAATGTAGAATTCTGCTGGATGTCGTTAACGGCTCTAAAACCACTCTTGAATGCTGGCATCGTCATCCTGACGGCAACATGTTCATCATCATATGGTCATGCTAACATTGCCAGCAAGTCTGTAGCCATAGAACCCAGATTTCGATAACGTGTGGACTTCCCTTTCCTGTATTCTCCCTGGGCTACCTCTCTCGCTCCTCCTTTACGGTTTATACTGCTTCTATTAAATGTAAAGGCCGAGGCTGTTTTCGATGGTCTTGCTCCTGCCATGTGGGAGTTTCCGAAAATAGGGGATCCTAATATAGTACCCTAAATAGTAGGATCCTTATTGAAAGGACCCCAAACTAAGGTACCCCGAGTTTTCGGAAACTCCCGTGTTCATGATGTGTCATCGTTTTCAGCCTCGGGCCCTGGTCAGGGCAATCGCCTTCCTGTGCCCAATGCTTTGCTTGTTGCCGTCCTCATCGTTGTCTTTCATTCCAATCCTTGAGCGATTTTCGCTGGAACCTTACACTGAAGCCCGAAGTCCTAAACTAGCAATGGCATGCGGACCCTGAGCCCTTAACTTAGAACCTTAAGCCCTGAAGTCTAAAGTCAGTGAACCCGCAAGCCCCGGAAACCCTAAACGCAACGCTAAGACCACTGTTTTGGGGTTGTCGCCATGAGCAGGCAGCTTCCTGCAAAGCGTGTCGGATCAGTGCTGCTTGGTTGATGTTACAGGGGCTGTACGGGTATCAGAATTTTATGAGTTCGGTGGGAGTCTGTCATTTCGCGATCGGCATGGTTCAGGCCGTGTGTCGAGATTAGACCCAGAAGTCTGAACCAGGGATGTGATGATGTGCTGCCCTTTTTTCTCCTAAGAATGCACTCAAGGTCCCGGACCGAAGCACAGAGCTGCACCTCTCTTGACCTCCCATTCCTTTTAAAGGCAACGTAAGAGGATCTAAGGGGCCAAGGTAGTTCCGGAATGATTCTGATTTGTCTGCTTCAAAAAGCCCCGGCCACCGCCACCTTCCATGTTTGCTGGCACCATGGGCTTGTCGTTGGTTTTTAGATGTGCTTTGTGCTAGTTTCATGCGCCGATGTAGTTCGACAGCACAGTACTGCGCCAGGCGCACTACCAGCACTTATGCCATCAGCACTCATAGTTTGATCCTGAAGCTGGACAACCGAGCTGACTCCTACCTTTGATGTTGCTGTTTGTGTGTTGTCGCTGATCATTGTGAGTACAGTAGCTTTACCTCACGGAATTCATCATACAATGTCTGGCTGTCTGGCAACTTGGTCTTTGATTTGAGCACTTCTCACAGGCTTCCTCAAGCCCTGCTCAACCACTCTGTCCGTTTTGCTGTTGTGTGTTTTTGTTTCGATCGGTCTGTCTCTCTCTTCATTTCTTTCTTCCTTTACGTCATGCTGTCTTACTTCCTTTCGTCTTGATATACATGCAGACATTTCAGGCGCGTGCTGCGTTTGGCCGGGGCTCTCTCGATGGCCTCGGCTGCAGCCGTGGCATTCGCGCTGACCCAGTGACCCGGCGTACTTTGGGGCCATTTTGCAGGGCCTCAGAGGCTTTCAGGATACATTGGGCATCGCAGGGGCTTCAGGTTAAGGTTTCGGGATGTTTGGTTGAGGGTTTGGGGTTTTCGAGCTTGAGAGTTGAAAGAGCATTGGCCTGCACGTGAATATGAAAACGGCTCGAGGGCTACAGGCTTTCTGTCGATGGCTCATGATGGTGGAGAATCGCAGCTCTGAGCGGCACCCCCCACACTAAGCCATTGATTTTTAGACCAGAGTTAGCTGCACTTGATCGTTATCATCACAATGCTTACGCGCTTACAGTCTAAGTTCGTCGACCATCGCTGCCACAGGCAGTATTCAGTACATTTCTGTCTCTGAAACAAACCTCCCATGTCGCTCTCTCCTCTCTTCCCTCCCTTCCCTCTCCGGCTCTGTCCTCCCTCTTTCTCTCTTTCTCTATCTTGTTGTCTTGGTTTCTTGGCCTGCAGTTCTTTCCGGGCCTCCGAGTCTCCGACTACATTGAGTTCAGGAGGTCATGTGCTGCTTTTCAGGCCTCTTCTGACACATTTTTTTGCGATTGCGAATCCATGGAAATGTTGCAGAGGCGCTCGTGCCGTCTGCCCGTGACCAGAGAGTTGTCAGGCAGTCACCATGATTGGATAATCTACATACGCCCCCCCAATTGCAACACCATCAACAACGGAAGCACAGCGAACAACTTCTTGAAAACTTGACAAGCCACTCTTGCGTACTGTCCAGATTAGAGAACAGAAGCCCCAACAAGACGCAGCAAAAGATACCCGCATATATAACACTCCCAAAGAGTTCTTACAACAGCCACGATTTGTCTGTATACAATTCAGCGTATCTGAACAGACAACCACCTGCTCACCTGCGTCTGAAGGGATTGCGGATAGGAAGAATCCCCCCTCACAGTGCTTGGAGATGTTCTGCGCCCTGAGGTACTCCGCTGTTTGTCGCTACCGACTGAAGGCTGGCCTGTTGTAAATGGGGGTTTCCGAAAATAGGGGACCCTAATATGGTACCCTACATAGTAGGATGCTTACTGTAAGGATCCCCAAATAAGGTACCCCCATTTTCAGAAACTCCCAAATGATTTGGGAATGAGGTTTAGTTTCTGAGGCTCGGCAGTGAAGAGCGGCATCACTCCCGAACCCCCGATTTCTCCTTAAATGATGGGGAGCCGGAGAAATCAACAAGAAGGGCCCCAGACCCTGAGCCCCGGGCATAGGATCGCGGAGAAGTCTTTATAGTTATCGTCTCCTTCTAGGATCCATGATCTAATAACGTATACATATATGTATATATCTCGCTTTTCTCGCTTTTCGGGCGTGGTGATCCGAAGGGCGGACGCAGCCCATGTGTATATGATACTGTATAATATATATATATATATATATATATACACACACATACATATGTCATTATATCAGAGTTAAACCAAGGAGACTATAGGTACTGGCAGGTTAATTATAGCATCCGAGACCTTTTCCCAAGAGCTTTGATCTGGGAGCAGCTTGCATCAGGTTGCACTTCCGTTTCCCAGGCCAATCATGGACAACCCCGCCCGGCCTCCCTCGGCCGTCCCTCAGGGAGAGGTGTGGTTTCGGAGTTTTCCTGAGGCGCTCTACCCCAACCGCAACTCTATACCCTTGCAACCCTAAAGCCTAAAACCTTAAACCCTAAACCCCTAAACCCTAAACCCCGAAACCCTAAACCCTAGCTGGAGGTGCTGGTTTCAGAGTTCCTCCTGGGCATCACGGCAGGCGACGTGGTCGTATGGCCTCAGGACTTGACCATGGTCTGGGGAGGAGGCGCGATCTGCGGTTCTGGGGCCTTTGAGGTTTATAGCCTTCTAAAGCGCTTAAGATGTAGGCTATCTTTCGGTGGAGGATTTAGGGTTGGTGCCTTTGAGGTTCAGCCTTCTAAAGCTTGTAAGATGTAGGCTACCTTCGGGTTGAAGATTTGGGGTTTCAGGGTTTAGAGAGTTTACGGTATTTTGGAGTTTGCGATTAAGATTTAGGGCTTTAGGGCTTCGCGTTTTGGCATGCCAAGGCTCGTGTGCATGATTTCTCCATGACCTTTGCAACCACGATGACGACAGAGCAGCGGCTGTTGATAGTAGCAACAAGTGGTACACTGAATGTAATCACGATTCTGACTTGGGTTTAGAACATGGCCTGCAACCCGACTTAACTAGGTTGTTGGAGCCATGTTTCTACGTTGGTGATGTCTCCCGATGGTCTCCTTTCTTTTTCTTTCTCTCTCTCTCTCTCTCTTTCTCTCTTTCTCTCTCTTTCTCTCTCTCTCTCTCTCTCTCTCCATCTCTCTCTCTCTCTCTCTCTCTCTCTTTCGCTCCCTGACTCTCACTCTCTCCCTCACTCTCACTCTCACTTTCTCTCTCTGTCTGATTCTCATTCTCTCTCTCTCTCTCTCGCTCTCTCTCTGTCTGGCTATCCCAGATCACTGTACGCCTAGAGCGTTATAACACTTGACCACGACCTGAGCCCCCTAAACCCAACCCCAAAATGCCGCGAAGCCCTCAGCTCCCCGTGCAGGTGTCTACTTTGCCCTGGCCAGCGGTCTCCTGAGCTTCCTGAGTGGCGTATGCCTGGTGTTCGCTGAGCTTCTTGGCATAAAGCATAAACAGTCCTCGTGGTAGCATGAATGGCCGTAGCGGTGGTGGCAGCCGGCGTCGTTGTAGGAGTATAGCAGTAGCAGTTAGGAGTATAGCAGTAGCAGTATCAGGAGCAGTGGGAGTCGCCGTCGCAGCAGCAGGAGCAGATGTTGTTTTTGCTGTTGTCGCCATGGTTGTCGCTGTCGTCGTTGTAGTGTCAACCACAGCAACCATAATCATAGCTGCAGTCGAAGCAACACGAACCTCGGATCTGAACACCACCTTAAGCAACCAACAGGTCCAAAGCCCAAGCCCTCAACCAGAAGCCTTTGTATGCCTGCGAGGCCCCCCAATTAACATAAAAGCAAAAAGGAAACCTACCAATGAACATAAAATGAAAAACAAAACCTATGAGCCCATAGCATGAACCCGTCACCTGAAGGCCCGGTCCGAGGGCCAAAAAAATGACCCCACAGTGCCATAGGCATTCAACGGAAAAAAAGCAGCGAGCCCCAAACCGGTACCCTGATGCCCTTTTAAGGGGACGACACACGATGTCAATGCCCGAGACATGCAATCGCCGAGCCCTCTCTAGCCTGTGCTGCTGGTTAGGGTTTAGGGTTTAGGGTTGTGCAGGCTCGATTCCACCACTGCAGAGACAACCTCCGCGGCAGTGGGTAAGGTCCAGACGGAGGCCATGCACATGCTTCAGGGGACTCAGTAAGTAGGATTGTGAGTAAGGTAACTATAGCTTTACAGCTATGTCTACCTATAACCAAAACCCTAAACCCCTAAACCTCAAATCCTAAACCCCTAAACCCTTAACCCCTGAACCTTAACCCCAAACCCCTTAACCCCTAGACCTTAAACCCTAAACCCCTTAACCCCTAAACCTTAAGCCCTGGACCCCTTAACCCCTAAACCTTAAACCCTAAACCGAGATACCCTAAACCTTAAAGCCTAAACCGAGGTACTTATAGTGAAGCTTGGATGTGCGGTGAATTCCCCCATTGAGACGGTTTGGGGTGCCGAGCCTCAATACTGCCTTAACTGGAGCCGGGTGACGAGTAGCCTTTTGGATATCCGTCCTTATAGGGTTTAGGGGTTTAGGGTTGAGGCGGCCTAGAATGAACCACAAAGGGTCCTAAGTACCTGCCTAGGTTGTTCAGAGGTTATAGAGATGTTCTGGAAGCTCCATGAGAGAAGCCGCACATAACCCAGATGTATGCGAACCGCCGCCCGCCGCACAAAAAACCGGCCGACAATGCTCCGGTTAGTGCCGATGAGATGCAGATTTAGGAGAGCTTTCGGGAGCAGACTCTTCAAAGACTGTTCGTGCATCGACTTTCGAGGAGAATGCCAGGGCAACGCGTACGTGCTATTCATAAACATGGCTGTAGTCGGTCATAGACCGTAAACGAAGGCATCTGGCCTACGCCCTTCCATATAGCTTTGCCGCCGAAGTTTGTTTCGACATACTTACGGCAAACTACACAGTCACCTACACCTCTACATGCACTAAGCCTGGGACATCCTGGGACCGTAGAATCTATAGAACCTACACACCCGACGCCTCGAAAGCCCTAAGCCCTCAAACTTCTCTCAAGCCCTAGTTCCCATTTAGCCCCAGTCCAGGGCTTTCTCATCCTGAGTTCAAGTTCAAGCCTTTATATGTATATGCATAGGTGAGTATAGTTGTATTTAGAGCTTTATGGATAGAAATAGAAATACAATTCCTACCCATATTATATTAAACTATATTAATACAGAATTTATACAGAGTGAGATTGACAGGTAGGTAGGTAGGTAGACATTTACCATCATCAGTAGCAGTGGCATTCGTACTCTTACTGCGCTGTAGAATTCTAGGTACTGCCACTGACGGTCCAGTTTAGAGCTCCCTAAACCCTAAACGCCAAACGGCCATAGCCTCAAGTCCCAAAAAAAACAAACCATAGGGTTCATGGGCAGCTATATTAAGTATGGTCATAAGTCCCTTAGTTGGAGTTTCATGTGTGGTTATAAGTAGGCTTATACATCCCTTAGTACGGCTCAGAATTAGAATAGTTGCCCTACTTTAAACTTTAAACCGACTTTAACGCTGCAACCCTGGCCACCCGGAGGTCCGCCGTGTGGAGGACCGCCATTTTACATCCCGGGGCTCGGCCGACGGCATGCGTTTAGAGATGCCCCGAAGGGATTAGGGCTCAGGGGGGCTAAAGGTACATCTGCCTAAATATATCCTTACATGATAAGACTTACTGTGAAGGTGCTTATTTAGAGTGTGTTGAGACTTTTGGTGTCAGTGCTTTGAGTGGCTTTGGTCAAGGCAGTTAAGGGCTCGAGAGTTTAATTGTCATGTTGGGGCTTTCGCACCGCAGGGTGAGTCTGGAGTTCAGTGTTGTAGGGCTTCGCCCCTCAGCATTAGGGGATTTAGGTTCGGAAACTAGGGGTTTAGGTGTACTACAGCATCAAGACTTTGTGCACAAGCTTTAAGATATAGGACACAGGAGTCTGTCCATAGGATTTTGGAGCGAAGGCTCAGTCAGCTGCATTGTGAGGTCAACGTGGGTTCAGGCATGTTGCTGTTGGGATCAACTTTTCGGGCTTGCAGGGTTTGAAGTTCAGGGCTTTAGGGTTTTGGGCTTTAGGGTTATAGGGCTTTAGGGATTGAGGGTTTAGGGCTTTAGGGATTTAGGGTTTTGGGGTTTACGATCGAAGCCGCGCTGGAGCTACCGAAGCCGACAGGTGAACCGACATTTGCCGCAGTCATGACCAGGAGGCAAAACTCCCATGGACCAGAATCAGAAAGCCTGAACCTCAACACTAAACCATACACAACCCAAAACCCGAAACCCTATGCTGTATAAAGAGACACCAAGAAGCACTGAGCCCCAAGCCCAGTTAGGCTGCGTCCATCGCCTCTGAGATTGAGACCCTTGAGCAGGACCGGTGGCTCTAAACGCAGTCGCACAAGCTTGGGGTTACTAGGGTTTGTACAAGTAGGGTTTCTAGTCTGTGTAGGACGTAAAGTTAGGGGTTGGCTTTTTGGACTTAGTGGAGCTTATACAGTGTATGGGGTTACGAGTCCTGAAGCCCCCAAGCCTAAACGCTCAGCCTAGCTGCAGCTAGCTGTTGTCCCAGGACTGGCAAACTAGCTTTCGGGTCAACAGTAGGTAGTGTTTACCACAAAGACAGCGGTAGTCAGACGAGTTGATCAGCCCTCGTCTGACACGGTCATTCGTTGTTTCAGAAACGGATCGATCTACAGCGACAACCTCGAGTGCCGTAACTATTCTACTAGCACTGCCTGCACGTGTAGCAATGCACCGTCGCAGTTCGTCAGTTCGTTCTGCAGTACTCCTCAGACTTGCCGCTAAGGTTTTCGGTGGCTTTTGATTCAGGCTTGCAGTGCCCCAGCTGTGCCTCGTACGCCCGAAATCCCAAACTTTAACCCCAAGTCGCGTCTTCCATGGAGTGCATGTGACGTGAGTTTGGGCCCCCAGCTCGAGAAATCGGTGACTATCCATGGTGACTGTCCTGTGCTGTAACGGCAGCAAGCCCTAGAAATCGCATGCACCGTCGTGTTAATCCAAGCTCGAGCCGGGCCAAAGCCGTCAGCCTGAACTCTTGTGACGCCTCGGAAGCCCTTGATCGCCGATCCCAGTCCGTGAGGAAGCTTTGGAGTACGTCCCGGAAGCCGTCACGACGACTGAACAGCAGAAGGAAGAAGAGCTCCAGTTCCTTACGATTCTCGGACTTCACCAGTTGCATGTCGTTTTATGTGCGATGACGATCGCGACAATGACGAGAAAGACGAGGATGACAAGGATCACAGTGATGATGCGGACAAGGATGAGGCGAGGAGGATCAAGACGACTATGATAAGACGCACACAACATTAAGATAAAAAAGTGTTATCCTGTGGGTGATACTTTTTGTGGTGGTGCATGTCTACGAGAACACTCATGATGATGATTACGATGGCAATGTGCTGCTGCCACTGCCTGCTCCTGCTGTTGCATTTGCCGTTGCTGCGGCTGCTGCTGCTGCTGATGTGATCGTGGAGAGATCGGGTCGATAAGTGGCATCATGACCCGGAAAACCTTTTTGTAACGACTGGAGCACGTTGTAGATCGATCCTTCCACTGTCTGACCCGGGACCTACAGAGCGCAGAAATCTTTTTTTACCTTTAACTTACATATGGGGGGCCGAAATAATTACCAACATTATTCCTAGGGTTCCTTAGTATAGATATAGCAGAACATGCCCCAAATAGTAAATACTACATGAGAAGCTGCTCCCTTCAAGCTAGGATTGATCTTACAGCGCAAGAGCCTTGAGTTCTAGGCTTGCAAATGGCTTCCCTAAGCCCAAATTGCTAAGCCAATTTTTAAAACCCGAACCTGCTAAAGTTCTGAATTCCTGAATTGAGTTTCAAAACCCCAAATCCATGCAGCCCCGCTTCCCAAGGCCCTGAACTTGAAATCGCTGACTTCCCACAGTGTTCCCGATCTGAGGAGGGCCCTTGAGGCCACGGAGGCACAGCTGAAGGCCCACAACCGCCTCTCAGATGCCTCAGGATCTCAGTTTCAGCTTGTTGCATTCGTCTAAGGTCACTGTGTTTCCCCGAAGTGGGGCCAAGTTAGGGTTCATAATAAGAACCTACAAAACAGTAGGGTTTGGTAGGTTAAGGTAGCATGTCAAGTTCCCAGCACAGGGGCTCCGGGCGCTCTGGTAGGGTGGCGCTGCCGAGATTCAATCTTGAAGATTGTGAGTTTAACCTCGGGGGCGTTGAGCCAATGCGACGAGCTGTTTTATGCGTCCGATGTGCTTACTGTATCGATGAGGTAATTTGGGTTAGAGTTGTACTATGGGTTGGCAATTGAGAGATTATGGGACTGGTACATGCTGGGCATATGCCGAGATGCCGAGATATGCCGAGTTTGTTTTTTTTTCGGCAGCTGGTACGAATGTTCGTTTTCTCCTCTTGTGTAGTCCTTGTTCTCGATTCCTTTCCTGCAGATCTGAAGCATCCCAGCAACGAAATGCGGCAAACCAAGATCAGGAATTTGGGGGAGTATAGAGATCGACTATTTATACGAGCGCTTTCTAGGGTTTCGGCCTGTGTGGTTTGTAGCATCCTGCGGCATGGGACTCGGGCAACTAGAGTTTTGACTTGCGTTTATCAAGGTGACCAATTACAACCTTACTCACCTAAGTCCGTCGATCCCCCAAGCAGTCTAAAATCTCGGCTTTGGGATCTTCTGGGTTCATGCCCCCCTAAGCCCGAAACGGCCCTAAATCCTAAACCCCCGAAAAACTGAGGAAGGGTAGCAGCAACGGTGCTGCTTGCGATGTTGGCCTTCGTCATGCTCTTATGCGCGGTGGGCTTCTTCATGGGTCGTGCCTCGGCTTACCATTCATTTCCATATCCACAGGCTCCATTGTAGGTGTTTTTGTGGATTATATTTAATTTAGGATCCTGCAAGGTAATCCCAAAAGGGAACTACTATGGACCCGATGGGTAAAGCCGCTGAGACCTGAAAGTCCACGTGCGTTTGCGACAGCCATTTCTCTCATAAACTGCCGATTCTTAATGAATGTATGTTCGAAAACTAACCCTCTCAAGAGCAGGTAGACAGGGCTTATGAGAATGCCAGTAGCCACGCGTCATGCTGCCAGGAAGCGAAGATCGTAAGACGAAGTCTTGACAAGGTGTAGGATTTGGCGTCCAGGAAACCCTTACGACCTCGTGCTTCAATCAAAACTGCTGCTCGCATGCTGCTGGCTGGCAAGCCCCAGGCGTAGCCGTGGCTCAGGGCATTCAGAACGCACTTCGTGGGCCACAACTCACTGTGAAGCAGACGACGTTGTCCTTCAGGCGGTTGGTGGGTAATTACATTTCGGAGTAACGACAAAGCACCTTATTGGGGCTAGAATAATTATGACTGGTTTTCTACATTTCAGCCCTAGTCTCTATTTAAAACGGTCCATGACCCTCACAGTAAGCCTTCGATGTTAACAGCTTGTGTGTGTGTGTGTGTCATACTTGCACGTAGGGAATTGAGTAAATACTGTTGCGTGCATTCCACAATTATCACTACCGACACAGCCAATCGACACCACTGTGATTTGTCAGAACTATGTTTTTCTTTCCCAGGAAGTAGCCACAAGATGCAATTGGATATCACCACTGGTCACCAAATTGACATGGACACGGCTTTGTTCCTCCGCGGTCGTGGTTTCTGATGTCCCAGTCAGCAGTCCCACAAAGCCTGAACCCACGTTTAGTAGTAAGGGCCAGTGCAGCCGACCATATAACAGACCCAAGCAGTCTCAACAGATGCAAAGTACCAACTAACACTTAACATTGACAATGTTGATTACCAACTTCATCGGGATCTTCATGGTCATCATGATCATAGTAGGAGTGCTGCGTGTCTCAGTTCTGACCTCTTCTCCCCTGCAGGAAAGCCAAAGAGCTTGCCAAGGATTCAGTGGTCGGAGCAGGCCGACTGTACAACAATTAGGCGCTTTGATCGGGCTTTGGGCTTTGAAGATAGGTCCAGCATCGTTCCATCGAGTCGTCAAACGAGTGGGGGTTTTTGCAGTAGTGTAAGTTTGCTCAAGCAGTACTGGTGCTAGTAATGGGATTATCATCATTGTTCTAGTATTGTGATGATGATGTTGAGATGATGATGATGATGATGATGATGATGTGCTGTCTTATGGTCGTCATGTCTAGTAGTAGCAGTAGTAGCAGTAGTAGCAGTAGCGGTGGCAGTAGCAGTCTGCAGTAGGCAGTGGTCGCAGTGGTAGTGGTAGTAGTGGTAGTAGTGGTTGTGGTGGTAGTGGTGGTAGTGATAGTTGTCGTACTAGTCACAGATAAAGATGGAGTTGATAATAGTTAGTACTAATAGATTGTAGTCCTAGTCCTAATACTCGTGCTGGCATAAGGATTCGTTCCAGCACTTCTTCAACCCCACGGTTCATGAAAGCTTCAATGACTGAATGCCGAATCCTGCAACCCAAACCCTCGGTCCGCCCGAGCTTTGAAACTCTACTCGAGTTCAGGTTCCCTGCTTTCCACCGAACGATTGACCAAACTCAGAGAGGCTAAGCACCTCACATGTAGTCACCTTTCTTGTCTTTACGTCAGTATGATCAGTATGATCGTACGTGCTGTTAATATTGTAAATGCAACTCTTTTCGTGTTCATGGTGTGTCCTGCTATGGTTCTTCGCAGCAGTGTTGGAACCTACGCGATATGGCCTGAAGTTGCATCCCCTGTCAGGGAACGCAACCATTACCGGTTTGTCTTCTGCTGCCCGGCACACCTGGCCATTCGGCTAAATCGGCTTGCGAGCGCAAGCGAATTCCACAACATTGGGGGCCGGGATTCAACCGTCATATTGGCTTTCTAATTCTAGGTTAAGTAGTTACTGGATGTATTATTAAGGGTCAGAAGGTCAGAAGTGATATCGACAGGTGAGCTTGGCGGCAAGCGAGTTTCAGATCTTCTTGTTCGTCGCCGCCGCATGTTCCTGCCAGGGCCGCTAGGGGTAACCGTCATGTAGACCCAATTCTGGAATATACTTATGCTTCACAGTCCCTCTATACATATTCTGGGATACCCCGAAACCCTGATCGGATGATTACGGCCCGGATATCAAGCCTTGTCATACCTAGCAAAAGCACTCACCTATTCCGATGATGAAGGCTCTTTAAACAAACCCTGTAAAGCCGTGTAGAATGCGGACAACTCTGTTCTGATGATTCCTGCCTAAGCCCTAAACCCGTCGGGGTCCGAGTTTCAGAGGGCCAGTTCCTACTTGGGCGATCAGAAAGGGTGGCAGGTAGCGTCATACGTAATTCCTGTGGATCCAATCCCCTTGAGTAGCTCAAGGGTTATAGCTATACATTGTTCTTTTAGTAAGCAACCCATTCAACCCTGAGCCTTAAACCCTAGTTTCACTGTATGAACCCTCCCAAAACTTTGCAAAGAGGAACGCGGGCCGCCGTGCAAACGGCGACCTCCGTGCAATGAGCAGCAGCGCGTGGCCAGGTGGCAATCTAGATTGAATTTCTGTGTAGGTGTCCATAAGGGTCTGACGATCTGCAATTTCGACCAGAGGTTGTCGTGATTTCTGGCTCCTGACTGAAGCTTAGATAAACATCTATATTTGCTTGTACAATAGGGTGAGGGCTCTTTTGTCTTCAGTATGAGGGTACGGTTCCGGGATAATTGCACCGAAGACCCTAGCAGCTTGAGCGAAATTACCAGGTTCGAGCATGTCGAGAGTCGAGACCTGTCGTCGTCGAAATAGTAGTAGTCGCCGTCGTGGTAGTAGTAGTAGTAGTAGTAGTAGTAGTAGTAGTAGTAGTAGTAGTGGTGTTTTCAACCGCAACAGCAACAACAACAACAACTACTACTTTACTAAACGAGAATTAACAACATCAGTCTACTAAGAGTATTCACAACACTAGTAGCAATAGCAGTAGCAGCTGTCAATAAGAATAAAAGAGGCAACAATACCAATACTGGCAGGCAAGAATTCTGTCTGTAGCTTCAGATGTTGCTGAATAGCGCGAATCTTTGCATGGCGATCAATGCTGAGCAAGAGGAAGAACAGCCCTGACCCCAAATAGGAATCGATAATATAGGGTCCTCAGTAGTTTGAGAAGTCCCATGCTAGTGTTTTCTGTTAACATCTGCCACTTCCGTAGACTGAAACTAGCGAGAGCTCATGGAGCCTTGTCCGCCGAATACCTTCACGGCAACTTCTGACCTTCCAGAGTCTTCTATCTGTTTATCTAGACGTATGTGTGTTTATGTGTGTACATATTTGTACACAGATGTAGTATACATACATATATACACACTGAGCTTACATATATATATATATATATATATATAAGTTTCAATTTACTTATTTACTTTACATCTCTATTTATGTATCTGTATGTGTGTGCGTGTGTCTGGATCTAGCCTTTTGGAGACCTCCGGCGTGAGGGCCACCATCAGCCCACCTGAGGAAGTCTTGGGCCGGCTCGGTTGCGAGTGCGCTGAAGAATCCGGACCGTTGCTGAGATCATGGCAACAGGGGTTTAGGGTATAGAACGGCACCTTAAATCCTAAACCCTAGACTGCTGGCAGTATAACAGTATGTGGTGGATACGAAAAATTTCTGCTAAGATACTGGTAGTCCCCATGTTGACCGGATGGTGGTTACTACAATTCCAGGAAACTGAAACACCTTCCAGCCAATCTCAAAGCGAAGGATAGGAGCTTGACTATCAGGCTTGCAGGGGTGAGGAGTAGAGATGTTGTATGTGTAAAAATTATGTATGTATGTATGTGTGCATGTATGTACATACATGGGTGGTTGGCAAACCTATTCTTCAGGGTACCCCAAAACGGACCTTAATTTTGACAACTATCCACATATATAGGTACAGTACAGATATATGCACATATATATATATATACACATACGTACTTAATTACTTACCTACTTTGTTAATTGATTTGATAGTTAATGAACTAATCAAATTGAATTGTTCATCAAACGCTTAACTCATTAGTTCCTTTTTATAGCTATAGGTTTTGCTTACGTACTTACTTCTCTTTCTATATCTATATCTATATCTATATCTATATCTATATCTATATCTATATCTATATCTATATCTATATCTATATCTATATCTATATCTATATATATCTATATATATATATATATACATGTAGATGTATGTATTTATGTATGTCTATATGTGTATACGCATTACGCACACACACACACAGACACACGAACACTCACCCCGCAGTCTCGCCACGGCTCTAACCAGGTGGTCGTATCGCATAGTGAGCAAGTTAACTCTTCATGGCTACTATGCCCTGAGGGTAATTGAGTGTCCCAAGCTCTGAAGCCTGAAACCCGGCTTCCCACCTTAGCAGCTCACGGAAGCGCCGCCAACGCCAGAGCCATGGCCGATTGCGAAGATGAGGCACCATGAAGCAGATCTTGAGCGCTCCGCAGCCTGCAGAGGCTGCTCCAGACAGGGCCACGAGGACCGTGAGCGTTCATTGCCTGGCAGGTTCCAGCTTTGAGCTGGACATCAACTCTGCAGAAACGGGGTGGGAGGTAGCGAAGCGCATCGCAGCCGAAGTTGGCCACCCTGCAGGTTTACTTGTGTTGACATCCCGTGGTGATGTTATCGATCAGCGCCAGCTGCTGCTGCATCAAGTCCAGCGCGACGAGATCTCGTACGTGGTGCGAAAGCTTGGCGCGGGTCGTGTCGCGATGCTTTGGGAGCGCCTACTTGAGGAGAAGGCTCTGGCTGATGACGCGGCCCTGAACGAAACGATGTCCTTCACATGGTATTCCGACCAAGCGGTCCAGCAGGGCATCCAACTACCCAGCAGCATGCAGAGCTTGACGTTTGGAGACGAGTTCAACCAGAGCTTAGAGGGCATCCAACTACCCAGCAGCCTGCAGAGCTTGACGTTTGGAGACGAGTTCAACCAGAGCTTGGAGGGCACCCAACTACCCAGCAGCCTGCAGAGCTTGACGTTTGGAGACTCGTTCAACCAGAGCTTGGAGGACATCCAACTACCCAGCAGCCTGCAGAGTTTGACGTTTGGTTTCCGGTTCGACCAGAGCTTGCAGGGCATCCAACTGCCCAGCAGCCTGCAGAGTTTGACGTTTGGCTATGCATTCGACCAGAGCTTGGAGGGCATCCAACTACCCAGCAGCCTGCAGAGCTTGACGTTTGGATCCGAGTTCAACCAAAGCTTGGAGGGCATCCAACTACCCAGCAGCCTGCAAAGCTTGACGTTTGGCTTTAGCTTCAATCAGAGCTTGCAGGGCGTCCAACTACCCAGCAGCCTGCAGAGTTTGACGTTTGGTTTCCGGTTCAACCAGGGATTGCAGGGCATCCAACTACCCAGCAGCCTGCAGAATTTGACCTGTGGCGCGTGGTGTTATCAGAGCTTACAGGGAATTCGGCTACCCTGCAGCCTTCACGGTTTGACGTTTGGCCTCAAGTTCAACCAGAGCTTGGAGCCCAGCCTGCAGAGCTTGACGTTTGGAGACTCGTTCAACCAGAGCTTGGAGGACATCCAACTACCCAGCAGCCTGCAGAGCTTAAGGTTTGGCCATGCATTCAACCAGAGCTTGGAGGGCATCCAACTACCCAGCAGCCTGCAGAGCTTGACGTTTGGCTATGAATTCAACCAGAGCTTGCAGGGCATCCAGCTACCCAGCAGCCTGCAGAGTTTGACGTTTGGTTTCCGGTTCAACCAGAGCTTGCAGGGCATCCAACTACCCAGCAGCCTGCAGAGTTTGACGTTTGGCTATGCATTCGACCAGAGCTTGCTGGGCATCCAACTACCCAGCAGCCTGCAGAGCTTGACGTTTGGATCCGAGTTCAACCAAAGCTTGGAGGGCATCCAACTACCCAGCAGCCTGCAGAGTTTGACGTTTGGTTTCCGGTTCAACCAGAGCTTGCAGGGTATCCAACTACCCAGCAGCATGCAGAGCTTGACGTTTGGAGACGAGTTCAACCAGAGCTTGGAGGGCATCCAACTACCCAGCAGCCTGCAGAGCTTGACGTTTGGATCCGAGTTCAACCAAAGCTTGGAGGGCACCCAACCACCCAGCAGCCTGCAGAGCTTGACGTTTGGAGACTCGTTCAACCAGAGCTTGGAGGGCATCCAACTACCCAGCAGCCTGCACAGCTTGACATTAGGTGGCGATTTCAACCAGAGCTTGCAGGGCATCCAACGACTCAGCAGTTTGCGAAGCTTCACTTCACGGAATTTTGGTGTAGCCACGTGGTGAGCAGCGATGCACTGGATTGGGTCGAATGTTGCAGCTTGTTTTGGGGCTGCCTTGGTTCTTCAAGGACGTCCTGCAACAATTTTGTCGTCGTCAGGGCAACTGGTATCGACTTCCGACTTCGTTGGATTCCAAACCCTTGCTGACTATTCCACAAGAATGCGAACGCAAAGACAAGAAACCCAAGTCCTGTTGCCGCACACAAACCCGCTGAGTGCTGTTGAATACGGGGGCCTGAATAATGACCTACAAATTTTGGGGGTTCCTTACCATAGTTGTAGTAGAGTGGGCCCCAAATCCCTATTCTGATTATCAAGGCCCCTAAATTATTGTACCCTTATAAACTTATAGTATCTCTTATATTAACCCTTGTAGACCCCTTTTTTATGGAACCCTATTATAATTATTAAGGCCCCTATATTACTGCCAGCCTGAGGGTCGACTTGGGCACACGGCACAAGCCTGTTTTATGGCGCGTGCAGCGCTGGACCTGTTGCGGCGGAGAAATGGCTACAGCGTCGACAAAAACACCATCAAAGTCAACTAAACAAAATACTTCTCGTAGATAAGCCCTACAGCCCAACATAGCCTTAACTTAACCTCTATGTAGCCTTCAAACCCGAACTCTCTGAGACGAGAACAGGAGGGTGTGTGTGTGTGTGTGTGTCTGTGTGTTTGTGTGTGTGTGTGTTTTGTTTTTTGTTGCTGTTGTTGTTGTTGTCGTTGGTTGTTGTTGTCGATGGTGGTTGTGGTTGTGGTTGTGGTTGTGGTTGTTGTTGCTGTTTGTGTTGTTGTTGTTGTTGTTGTTGTTGTTGTTGTTGTTGTTGTTGTTGTTGTTGTTGTTGTTGTTGTTGTTGTTGTTGGCAGCACTTGCCTCTGTCGCCGCGCGGGGTGGTGCGAGTTCTTTGCTGGCATGTGCTGAAACTCGAGTTTTGGCAATTTGCTCACCCGGGATTGGATTTGCGTGGTGCTTTCGCATCGGTTTTTGCGGTGTTGTGAAACAATAATGTAAACAACAAGGTGCGGCAGCCGGCGAGCTACACTGTACAAAAAATGTTAAGCTCTCCATTTAGATTTTTTCTTTCGGTGTGTTCCTGTGTGTGTCGCATTTCGCATCCGGGTTTTACGGTGTTTTTGCCGACTCTCGACTTTTTGTTTGCACATGCCGGCTTAGACTTGCAGTTGTCTTTCAGCTCTGTGCGGGGGTGCGGGGAGGGGATGGGGGGGTGATGACGTCCGTGCGAATGCGGCTTGTGTCTTCTATTTCTTTTGTTGCATTACTTCTCAAACGCTGCCGGTTTCTCTGTGCAGCCCTTGTTGCCGCTTCTTGTTGCTTCACTTTTGAAACGTCAACCATGCAGAACCTCGAGTTTTTTGAAGTTTTCCAGACAAAAGCTTCGCAACTGACCCTGAAAATCAACAGAAACCAAAGACGACAAGCATGGTATTTGCCTTCCGTAAAAACCTCACCACAAAACAAGACCAAACGACTATGGAAAAAAACACGAAACATCGCTTTCTTCACGACAACCACACAAAATGCGATGTCTTCAGGCTTTCGACCACAAAACCTCCAAAAATAAGCGACGCACCCCTCGCGGCGGCAGATGCACATGCTGCCTTGTTGTTGTTGTTGTTGTTGTGGTTGTAGCTGCTGCTGCTGCTGCTGTTGTTGTTATACCCCCTGCAGGAACTTTGCGTGCCCTGCCACGTAAAGTGCTTTCGCTTCGGCTCTGCTGCGGAGGTCCAGGGAGGCAGTCTGAACCGTGAGGCAGCTCACTATCGTTGCCGGGCCTGCGATGCCAAGGTAAGCCGTGTCTCAGAACAAAGCTTGTTTGTGGCAGGGCACGGGGCCACAGACCCCAAAAAATCCAAAAAACAGATCCTCGTGTACCGTTGCTTCGCCGCCGCACATGACGGCCGTGTCGGAGGATGCAGTTGAGACATGTACACCGCGCTCTCCTGGCAGTGGCAGAGGATACAATAATCTTATAGGTTCAATCTACCACGCCGCGCAGAGACATGGCATGGCCGGAGGTGAAACGTCTCGAGGCAGACGCCGTGGCCCGCTTCCGAGGTGGCCTGGAAGGGGGTCAAGTGTTATATGTGGAGGTTGACGAGAAACAGTTCAGCACCGTGTACACCGTTTCTGACTCATACGCTTTCACCTTTTCTTTGCTGTGGGGGCGCCATGCGACCGGACTTTCCAGACAGGCCCTCGTTTTGTCATTGCGGTCGGACCATTTAGCATCTTTACAGACGACAGCGACCACTCAACCATGTACAACCATCTAGAAAGATTTACTTCACTTGAGACCATGAAAAGAAAATTTAAGCGTGATTGTGTTATACCGATGCCGCTTTTCGCAGCCGGCTCCATCCCAGTGGATTCAGAGATTCAAAAATTCCAATGCGTACATGCAATGGCAGAAGGGACTCTGGGTCCGGATCCAGGAACTTTCGTGCCACTTGCATGTCGCATCGAAATAAATACAGCTGGTGCTGGTGCCCATGGGAGCAAGCAACCATGTGGCCCTTGTGTCCTCAGTTGTTCAGGGTCTGCAATGCACGGTGTATCTCCAGAACCTGGAGTACCGTCGACGACCAGGGGTTCCGCGCGTTCTGGCTGGCATAAAACCCTGGTTGTGACAGCCCGAGGCGCGCAGAAATTCACGATTCTGAGAAAGCTTGGGACGACTACAAGCAAACGCCGGCCGGGAATGCCCATCTTGACACGATCAGCATGGAAAACCATAGCAGATGAGATCTTCAGCACGAGCTCGCACATCTCATTGTTCTCGGACGGCTGCCGGGCCTACACCCTCGAACACGAAGGTGTGGTCGACCACCAGGCCGTGCACCACAGTGCGCAGGAGCACTTGCGGTCCTGTCAAGTGTTGCGCAACCGGGAAGCATCTGAACGCACCTTGGGCAAAGCTGGCCGAGGGGGCCTGGAAGCACATAGATGGGCCTGCTACAGGTGCAGCTTCAACAGCAGAAGCTGCAAGCCAGGAGCAAGTATTCACCGCAGTGCAATGGAACAGCGCCAGCAGGTGCGGCTTGAAACAGTATGCATGTAGGCATAGCTTGGGATTGGCAAAGCATGCAACGAGTCCGCAAGGCCGGATGTGTCTCCAAGTGTTTATAGAATTTGGGCTGGGTGACTTGGCATAACATGCCGTTGAAAAGATCTTGGTGGACGTGGTGGACAAGGGGAAGCCACAGTCAGCGACAAAAGGACACGGCTGCAAGTGGAGCGCGAGCTCCAAGTGAGTTTGCGGGGGGACAAGCGGCGCTTCTTTGACATAGTCTCGTATAGCGTCGCGCCTGCCAATGGACCACGCGGCCTCGAGGCCACGATCTGCAGCCAGCGGGTGAGAATAAGCTGAACGCCCATTGCAGCACTGAAAAGCCACCGCAGAAGATTAAGATGCTTCCTGCTCCTAAACGACACACGCAAAAGGGAGCGCAAGGAAGCCGCAGCTTGGGCCGCGAAGCTTCTGAACCAGCATTTGTGATGGCGAAAAACATAACATCGATTGAAGACGGGGAGGAAGCCGCAGCTTGGGCCGCGACGTTTCGGAGCCAGTAGTGGTGATGGCGAAAACAAATCGGACAGCTTGCACGTGCATGCTGCGTCAACTGGTTTATTCAGAGCATGAGTCCAGAAACATCGCTTGAAACAGCGGGATGCAGGCAATTTTCAGTGTCTGCCTTCCCAAGCAAGGGTGTGGCTCTGAACCCATGTTTGCCGAGCCACTGACTCAGGCTTGTCGGCTCTGGCAGCAGCCGCTGTCGTAGGATGCCGCTTTGAGAAAGCGCAGGTTTCTGTGCGGCCCGAAGCAGTGGGGTGACCAGATTCGTGCAATTTCTTCAGTCCGGGATCAAAAGATTAGAAACTTTGATTATTGATTTGTGGTTTTGGGAAAGTCGTTTATTGAGGATTACGGTTTCAACCGCAAGTCCAGACTCCAGGCCTGCCCCCTCCGCCCCCCTGCCCCCCCTGCCCCCTGCCCTGCCCGGCCCGGCCCTGCCTTGCGGCCTGGAGGCAGCCCAGGCCTGACTACATGTGCGAGCCAGAAAACGAAGCGACTTGAGAACTACTTGGAGTCGGTCGGACAACCCCCTCCTCCAAGGGGGCTTGTCCGGGCCGCAGAAACCGTCGGTGCCTTGTTACTGTTCTTTTTCGTTTTCTTGTTCTTCTTGTTCTCGTTTCATATTGTTGTATCTGTGTAATTTGATAGCTGTCATGGGGGCTTGCCAGGACTGGCCGGTGGTCCTCTGGAACATCATCGCTTTGCCAGGCACCAGGACCTTCCTTGCACCCAGACATAGGGGTATATGGCCGCAAATAGTAGCTGTTTACACGCTATCTAGGGTCCACCAGAGGGGAGACAGAGGGTCTGGGCATGCACAAATTCTTGCAGCCGCGCTACGAAGTCCCATATATACATCCTTAGACCGTTGTAGACTTGTAGAGACCTTGTAGAACCCTTAAGACACCGTTGATTAAGTGCCATGATCCTTGAAGTGTAATCCTACATCAGACCCCCACTCGGCAGCCCAAGCGTCCAACATTTAACATGGGTGTTCATTGAAGTTTGTTGGGGAAAGTTTTATATGAAAAAGGATCCTACCGTGTAGGGGCAGGGTCCTGTCTGTTGTGAACCTTCCACTTTGGCATTCCGTCACAGCCGGATGGCATTTGCATTGCGACCCAACTGCGAGCCTGAAGCCTAACAAAGCCCCGACACCCCGAATGCTGTCTATCTTACTTGTAACACAGCAGCACTGCCAGCAACGGCACGATATTACCAGTAACAGCTGTGGCATGAGCACAGCAGCACCGGCAACAAGTACATCCATATTCTCGTCGCCTTAACGATGCAGCCCCCAAAAGCCCCAAACCTCTCCGTGCCTTCGAAAGTTTCACCGAGTTCCTTAAAACGGGCCAAAGTTCAGGCCGCAGTGCCTGGCGCCTGCTTCGCCATCTTGGTGAGGCC